GTTCTCTGTCCTCCTCTCTGCAGTCAGATAAGTAGCGGCGGAAGATATCTGAGTTTTGCATTGACTCCTCCTCACAGCGAGGATACAACTAGATTAGGATTGTTATTCAGTTTTTGTTTGATGAAAATGTAATGTCAGTGAGTTCTGTGATTGACCTCCTCAAGAATAAGACTGGCTGGTGGATGGAATTATTGTTAACTTTGTATTATTATAAGTTGTTACTTTCAAGGCTTCTATGACAAGTTTTAACTCAGTGTTTCAAGAGGCCTTACATTATTAAGATCTCAGCCATAATTCTTTCAGAGAAGCCAAAATTATGTTTGAGATCAGTTCACTTCTTGTTAATATTTCAGCAACTTGAATCTTCTCTCATCATCACCTGTACTGCCCTCTCCCTGCTTCAGTCATATCTCACCATACATCCACAATGCTTGGAGTTATCTTATACTCCGTTCTCCTTCAAACACCATACCTGTCTCATCACCAAAACTGCATTTTTCAAGTTGTAAAACATAACTTATCTCTGCTCATCTTTCTCTTCTGCTGCTGAATCACCTGATCAATGCCTTCACCACATCCAGGCCTCACTACAATATTAGGCTTCATGCTACACCCTCCAAAGTGCTTAGACTTCAGAGCATCCAGAACTCATCTGCCTACCTACACACTCATTCCTTATCTTACAACCACATCACTCATGTTCAACAGATACAGTTTGAATTTCTTCACACTTACAAAGTCCTCCAAGACCAGACCCTCTTCTGCCTCACCAACCTAACCAATCTCCTCCACCCACAAATGACTGATTCTGGTAATAATTGTGCCTTTTTTTTTTTGGTCTTTCCAGTGATGGAAGTGACACCTACTTTATAAAGAATAATAAGTGTTAAATGATGATCATTTAAAGCAACAGATTTTTTTTTCATTACTTCAAATCTTTGGCCAATATGTAATAAATCTGAAATTGCAGTTCCTTTGATAAATGTAGGATACAAATTTCAAACTGTGAACCATTTCTACAATCTGAAGTCTTTTTCTCTCTTTACTGTAACAGTGNTGCAACCCACTCCTGTCCTTTTCCAGGAGCCTGTCTGATCCAGGCCATCCAGTAGCTACTAAGTGAAAATCCAGACATTGTACAGGTCAAGGTCAAAGTCAGTCATAGTTAAAAGCAGCAGTCCTGTCCTATAGTCCATCATGTTAAACTGTGTGTCCACTGTTCTCTGTCTTCCTCTCTGCAGTCAGATAAGTAGAGGTGGAAGCTATCTGAGTTTTGCATTGACTCCTCCTCACAGAGAGGATGCAGCCAAATTGGACCTGATATTAAGTTTTTGTTTGATGAAAATGTAATGTCAGTGAGTTCTGTGATTGACCTCCTCAAGAATAAGACTGGCTGGTGGATGGAATTATTGTTAACTTTGTATTATTCTAAGTTGTTACTTTCAAGGCTTCTGTGACAAGTTTTAACTCAGTGTTTCTAAGAGGCCATACATTATTAAGATCTCAGCCATAATTCTTTCAGAGAAGCCAAAATGATGTTTGAGATCAGTTCAATCCTTGTTAATATTTCAGCAACTTGACTCTTCTCTCATCATCACCTGTACTGCCCTCTCCCTGCTTCAGTTATATCTCACCATACATCCACAATGCTTGGAGTAATCTTACACTGACTTACACAACATGCCTATCTCATCACCAAAACTGCATTTTTCAAGTTGTAAAACAAAACTTATCTCCACTCATCTCTCTCTTTCTGCTGCTGAATCACCTGATCGATGCCTTCATCACATCCAGACTTGACTGCTGTAATAGCAGTCTTTATTCTACATCCTCCAAACTCCTGAGACTCCAGTACATCCAGAACAAAGCTACTCACTCACTCCTGCAACCACATCACTCTTGTCCAGCAGACACACTTTAAATTCTCCCATTGAACAACTTGAACTTGATGGACAGTCAGATGTTTGGTGACGCAGCTCATTATATTTCACACCTGTAATAAGAAAACATGTAAATGTATGAACCCACCTGGTAGTGAAATTATTCTTGCATCAGCCGTTCCTGTAACAGCTATTTGTTCAGATTAAACTGATCAGGGATGAAATGGACTTGGCCTCTCTAAATAACACCTGCCCTAAAAGCACACATTGAGTCTGTACACAGGTACAGTTTGTTTTCTCCCTGCTGGATAAGGCCTAATGCTTATGTCTTAGTTTTGTCCTTAACACCTTTTTCATTCATTATTTGTTCAATTTGGGTATTTTTGATCATTATATAACTATTATGATTTCTTTCTTCAATAGATGAATTATAACAGAAAATGCCTCACACCTGCCTTACAAAATAACAGATGGGAATATTATTAACCAGTACATTGTTATAGAAAAGGACATGTTGGTGAAAAACATAAAAAAGAGGAAGTCACAAACCACAGCCTCTGCTGGTGCTTTCACAGTGTTTTATTTATTTATTTTCATTTGTTTTTTCTGTATGTGTAGGTATGATGTTGGTTTGACATGATATTTTAGATAATCTCTTGCTGCCCCCTGCTGGTGATTGAAAACATCAGCGGATTTAGGTTTTTGTAAAGCCTCTCTGCTTACATTTGATTTATCACATAGACTGTATTTATGTAGACTGGGCACAGTAATACACAGCAGAGTCCTCAGGCTTTAGGTTGGACAGTCTCAGATACACCATGCTGTTGCTATTATCTCTGGTGATTGTACGTCCTTGCACACTGCTTGCATAAATTGTTTTACTTGCATCATTCCAAATAACCTCCATCCATTCCAGTGCTTTCCCTGCAGGTTGTCTGATCCAGTTCATTCCATACTGACTGAAAGTAAATCCAGTTCCCCTGCAGGAGAGACTGAGGGCTTCTCCAGGTTTTTTTACCACTGATGTGGAGGGAATGGACTCCAGAGCCTGGCCATTCAAACCTGCCAAAGAAACAGATGTAAAAAAACGACAAGTGAGAATGAGAGAGCACAGAACATTAAATGTTTGCAATAGTTTTCTTGGTATTGCAGCATAAAGTAACTTACAGGGCAGACAGAGCGCTGTCAGCAGAACAGACAGTTTGTCCATCATCTTGAGACTGAAGATGTGAACTGCTACACACTAACCAAGAAGCCAGTGGGAGGACAGAAGTATACCTTCTGAAAACTCTGGATTTGCATTGGGATTTTCAAAGGGAGGGGCTAATATATTTAGCTAGCATGTTGTTCAAATGCAAGAGTGGGGGAAGAGAGAGGGGATGACATGCAGCACAAAAGGCATGCACAATCCATTTGACACCTACAGGAGACACCTGGGACCCCAGGAACGCTGCTCACTGGCCAAAAAAAAAAAAATTTCCTTGTAGCCCAAAAAGCATTTTTTCTCAAAAGGCCACTATTATAAAAGAAATGTCTGTAAAACAATTGACAGAACACCTCAAACTGCAAAGTGCAAGGGTGGCATGGTGGTGCAGTGGTTAGCATCATCTCCTCACAGCAGGAGGGCTCCTGGTTCCAACCTGGGGTGGGGGAGGCCTTCTGAGCGGAGTTTGCATGTTTTTCCCGTGTCAGCGTGGGTTTTCTCCGAGTACTCCAGCTTCCTCCCACCTTCCACAGACGTGCAGGTTAGGTTAATTAGTCACTTTAAATTTGCCATAGGTGTGAATGGTTGTCTGTCTCTATATGTCACCCCTGCGAAAGTCTGGAGATCTGTCCAGGGTGTACCTCGCCTTTCGCCCAGTGTCAGCTGGAATAGGCTCCAGCCCCCTCCTACAACCCTCAACAAGATAAGCAGTTACAGAAAATTAATTAAATGAATCATGCTACCGTGTCACACATGAGATTCTTTGCATGGACAAAGCCTATCCTGCACTTCAGTCTCTGAATATATACCAAGCATAATGATGATATAACCGAGCGAAATGCCACTTTCATTAACAAATCTATTACCAAAGCGGTCTATAGGTCTATAAAACAGGATCAATGCAGTTATGTAAAAAGATATGATAAGTAGTTTCATTGTATTATCTGGCACCCTGCTCATGATGTCATATAATACTGATCCTATTTCTATAGAGTGCATACAGATAAATAAGTTGTGTGATTAAATTGCTCATGTGCTCATTTATTTCATTCATGGGCCTCTCATGCAACCCATCAAACAATGCAGCTCCAGATGTGATCGTTGCGTGTAGATTGAGAATATCTTCTTAAATTGCACAGAACCTTTAATTTTACCAGTACATATTGTGGTTATGTAACAGGCTGATGATACCTGTTTTAAAATGCAAAGATAGTGTACAAGTACTCTAAGCACTGCATTCATTTATTTATAATAAGATAATTTGTATGCTGAGATTTATAAGCACTGCAAAAATCAATTGCATCTATATCAACATAAAATCTACTTAATTCAATTTCATGACAACTTCTGGGTACAACGGTTTTATTTTTTTTTTCTCAGACAATTAAAGAAATTACAAATGCATATTTGTAGTGGCATATGATTCACAATCCTTTTGATACTAGATTTGCTCCCTCCTCACTTTCCCATCTGTTGTATCCTGTTTTATGTCATTTCGTGATAACGGATAGAAAGCTTCAGACAATCATTTGCTCAACTAGCACCACATGAAAGCATGGAAGGAGTCAACAAACTGCGAACAATAAGCAAATACAGATATGTCTTATCCATGTTTTTTCTCCAAACAAATAAGGATTTAAATCCAAAGATGGGGTGACATAGATTTTTTTTTTTTATCATTAGCAAACAGTGTCAAATACAAAAAAATCTTGTTTATGACATTTAGATTGCATTTAATTCTTTCTTTTTTTAAAAAAAAAAAAGCTTTTAAAAACAACCGTAGTGTCTGACTTAGTGTATGAAATTGTGTATATGCACAGCATTAAGCCTATCTTTCTTTTCTAGACCAAAGCTGCAGAGATAATCCATATGAGACATCATCCCTCTTCTCCCGCATACGCAGCTCACTGCTGATCACAGTTTACACGCAGACACATGCTCACACAGAAGAGAGACACTGAATGATACAGGCCAGCAACATATATATTTTTAACAGGAATTCACAAATACAAGGCTGTCATCATGAGTATTAAACAAGCTTGCATCTTTCTCAGGGGAGGAACAAGGAGACCTGTAAGTCAAAATGGTTTCTTGGTTTTATTGTACTGTTTATGACTGAGTGGTAGTTTCATGCTATTACTATATACCTATCTTTTACTAAAGAGTTTTCTAAATCTCAAAGAAATTAAGTGTATATGATTGTCTTTTTCATTGGTCAACCAAGGATGTAAGTCTTACTATCATATGTTGATTATTTATCAAATAACTATGGTATTGCTATTGCTATGATGGTTATTCATATATGGCGTTATTTTAGGTCAATGGTAAAAGCTGCTTAAAGGAATTTAAGTGTGGAGGAGACATAGGTGGGCAAACTTTTTAGCTGGTGCATTAAGCGGATGCATTGGCACGCAGTTTCTGTGCTTTGTCCCTAATTGTCATAACATACATTTATACAAAACCGTAATATTTTATGTAAAAAACTGAATCATAGCTACACAGGTTGCATTCTGCACTCCTCACATACATTCATGTTTTTTTCTTTTTACCAGTCATTGAACTTTATAGGCAACCTGTGCTGATGTTGTGATCCCAAAATTAATATACTCTACATATGATCTGGGATCAATCAAACAAGATCCTGTTAGATTATTATTACCAAGAAATAATGTTCCCCAGTCCAAATGCATTTGAAATACAAGTTCAAATTAATTTATTTCAGAACAGAATAAAAGTATAGAAGTGTTATATACTTCAATGAAATACTGTTAACTTCATATGGACAACTATATTGAAGCCTTATGCAAAATAATAAATGACATATTATACAATTAAAATGATGAATGTTCATCAGAGAACATAATGTGGATGGCGCTGGTGCATATCATGATGTCATTAAGAGCACTTTTATGTGACATATTAAACAAAGGTACGACATACATGAATGTGTACTTTAAATGTGTGATCTAATGGTAAAAACATAGTCCCCACATATAATGAGTGACAGTTACTCACACCTTTCTTAAATTAATGTTTTGTCCTAAAAATAGTCTAGAACGCTCATATTTTGGATAAATAAATGGGTATTTCAAATGTATGTGGACACATCAACAATTTCAAGTGTTTCATAGATATAAAATAAGGGTTACTGTGGATACATCAGTAGTGATACATTTTGTGGAAAAGTGTATAAAAGGGTGTATAAAACATACTAACAGAATTTCCTATTTTTATCTGTGCCTTTATTCTTTCGCAGACGAGAGCTCTTACAAATGATGAGATTGACGGTAACTGCTGCTTTGTGTGTTCAAATATACTGTTACATAATGATTTTTTATCTTTAAGTTTCTGTCAAGGTATGCCATCTCAATTTATTTGTCTGTATGCTCTCTAGAGTTGCGTGAAGCTTTTGTTGAGTTTGATAAAGACAAAGATGGTTTCATAACCTGTAAGGACCTGGGGAACCTGATGAGGACCATGGGTTACATGCCCACTGAAATGGAGCTCATAGAACTGAGTCAGAACATCAACATGAACTGTGAGTAATGTTCTCTAATTTATGAGGTAAAAGCAAAAATAAATGTCAAATGTCAAACTCCATTAATGTTTTATTACTGCCAATCGGCTGATGAAAATATAATCTGTTAATTTATTTTGGATATCTTACGGAGACCCTAAAGTCCCAAAAGGTGATATTATTGGTCTGGTTAGTTAACTTGTGGAAACAAGTGAGCCTCTCATTTTGTGTACACAATATAATAACTTAATCCCACACTAATAATACCTTGCTCCCACAAGGTAAGAACATGTTCCCACAATATAATTACTTGTTCCCATGAGATGATAATTTGTTCCCACAATATAATAACTTAATCTCACAGGACAGGAACTTGCTCCCACTGGATAAGAACATGTTACCACAAGATAATTACTTGTTCCCACGATATAATAACTTAATCCTACACTGATAATACCTTGCTCCCACAAGATAATAACTTGTTCCCATGAGATAAAAATTTGTTCCCACAAGATAATTACAGTAACTTGTGCACACATGATAAGAACTTGGTCCCACAATATAAGAAGAAAGATGTTCCTATGAGATAACTTGTTTCTATAAGATAACTTGTTCCCACAATATAATAACTTGTTCCCATGACATAATAACTTTTTCCCACAATATAATAACTTAATTCCACACTGATAATATCTTGCTCCCACAAGATAAGAACTTGTTCCCATGAGATGATTTGTTCCCACAATATGATAACTTAATCCCGCAAGATAATTTACTTATGCACACAAGATAAGAACTTGTTCTCACAGTATAAGAAGAAAGATGTTCCTATGAGATAACTTGTTTCTATAAGATAACTTGTTCCCACAATATAATAACTTAATCCCATGAGATAATAACTTGTTCCCACAGTTTTATCTCTCTTGTTGGTTTTCAAATGTGTGCTTTTTTAAAAATTTTTGCTGAACGTGTTTAAAAAACTAATGCAAAACATACTAAAAATATTTTCAGGAAATGTGTCTTTCACGCTCTCCTTCACAATGGTCTCTTGAGACACAGAGCACATTTGCATTTTTCTATTTCTAAAGAAGCCAGCAAAGTGTTGGTGGGAACAATTAAATATATCGTCTGCTGGTTTATCATATGTCAGTGGCTCACATAAATGGTATGGAAGAGCACAGATATTATCTTAGATATACTACCATATATTTTTACAATCCATCGGACAGTTGAATGCAAACCATCCTCTTCACATTTATAAAGTGTTTACCTCCACTGAGATTTTGAGTTAAGTCAATAATTTAAAACCAGGAAGATAAACGACCAGAGGAAGTGGCATAAGTGCTTGTCTCGAAATTGTTTTCCACAATGACAAGCACAGCAGAGTGAAATGTAATGTATGAAATAGAGCAACACTAATTGCCAAAGATAAATCTCTCCAACAGCAGGCTAAAAGCTAGACAAGTACTTTTTTCACAATGGTGTTAGAGGACTCAAACATAGCTTAAGCTGTGTTCTCTGTGTACTGCCTCCTAACTTTAGTTACATCATTTGTCTCATCACAGTGGGGGGACGGGTGGACTTTGACGATTTCGTGGAACTAATGACCCCCAAGCTTTTGGCTGAAACTGCAGGGATGATTGGGCTGAAGGAACTTAAAGATGCATTTCGAGAGGTGAGCCCAACATACCTACTTTGTCTTTTTGGTCTTTGGCACCCCGTGGTGGATATTAAATGAACATACTGTAAAAACAGATATCTGGCATGTCGTGATTGCAATATGAGTCAGAAATGCCCTAGAGTTTTGCAATGTTTTGCTTTCCTCTTCCACTTTAATACAGTTTGATATTGATGGAGATGGCTCTATTACATCTGATGAGCTGAGACATGCCATGATAAAGTTACTAGGAGAACAGACCAGCAGAAATGAAATCGAAGCAGTGGTCAGAGAAGCTGACAACAATGGAGATGGGACAGTTGACTTTGAGGGTGAGATACATGTACACACATGCACACACAAATATTAAGTCTTTTTCTGTAGCCTTATATTAACCTCCGCTGTCTAGATGTTGAGCTGGTTGAGTTGTTCTGTGAAACACAGCAGATGAAGTAACTCAAATTGAATCAACAATCTTTGATTCAAATAGATAGCCTCAATTTTAAAAGTGTTGTTAATGGTTCTGTTATGGCAATAACATAGCAGCAAACCACTATTTGTTCTGTACATATATGGTGGAGTGATGGCATCTTGAGCAGAGAGTCATGCTCCCTCTGTGTATTGCAGTCTTAGCTTCTCTGTGGTTTGTTGTGGTAGCACTAGAGGCGGGGCCCCTTTCACTCCTATTAAGGTTGCTCAGTGGCGCAGGAAGCCAAAAAAGTTTAACTGCCTCATTTAAAAAAAATCTGGATGATCAGCACTGCTTCCACACCATGTGACCCATAGAGCAGGTGCACTAGAGTCTTCCATTGGCTGAGGAAGCTACTTCCAGTTCTCTAACTTGAGAATAAAATGATACGAATGTGTGGCTTTTCTTGACTTTCCAAATGTTTTTGGACCAAATGGATCAAATCCCAATAGTGAAATATATCGTTTTGCAGAGGTGGTGATGGTCAAAAACATTTATCCGCTGATTTACAAGCGTCTCCTTGGCCATGTAAGTCAATACCAAAAAGTCTTTTGGGCCACAGGGCATCATGTGACGGTGTAAATACACTGTTTGGCCACCACAAAAATTGGCTTCAAAGTCTGGCACACTTCTCGGGGGCCTGTGCTAGGCACCAATTCAGCCACCTTCATGTTGAGAAACATGTCCAAACAATTCAGAGGCTCTGAATTTTGCATAAAGCCCTTTTAAATAACTACATCAGAAAACATCTGAAAAAGTATTAGAGCTCTGGTATTATTTTGGTCACTGGCACACTCACAGGTGTATGAGCCAAGATTCATGTTATCAGTTTCATTTATCAGCTTTTGCTGCCATGACAACTCACAATGTAACAATGTCTGCCATGAAAAAAATTTACTGTTAAAATAATTTGTTAAATCAAATTTCATTTAAATGTTGGTCACACATAAAGTAATCTCATTCTGTGTCTTTTTATGTGTCAGCTAGTTACTTTAGTTATCATTTACACTCAGTGCCAAAGCAAAAAGTTTTCGATAAATCTACCAAAGAATTTGGCTAACCAATACTTTGTCTATTCTCTTTACAGAGTTTGTGAAAATGATGTCGCAGAAATGAAGACAACAGAATGAATGGATGACTGTGAAAGGAGAGGATGCATTTTTTATTAAATTTTATGTTGATGATAGCCTAATTCTTACGAGTAATTGTATTCTATTTTTTAGATGATAAAACTTTAGGGCCAGTGTCCACACAGCGTTTTTCTTTGGCAGAAAAGCGGTGGCATGGGGGGAGACTTCATCACAGCATTTCATGAAAAAAGGGCTTCCAGTGTCTTCAGTGTCCACATTCAGTGGATCTGCTCCAACAAATGAGCTTTTCTGTCTCTATTATGATGTCATATGGCTCGGATAAAGTCCTACCCTATATGATTGGTTGCGTGAAAGAGGTGGCAATGGCGCTTCTCAAAAAGTTCAGAGCTGTAAAAAATACAGCTTTTCTGGAGGCAACACACACTCTCTCCTCAGTGGGAACAACTCAGAAAGAAAAAAAAACGCCATGTGGACACACAGCCCGAGATAGCCACACCCTATAGTTTAGGGATATGTTAGCTCAGCAATTTGAAAAGTTCGTTGTCACCTAGTTTGCCCTGAATCCTGCAGAGCTGTCAAACAGAGCAGCAGGTGCGAACATCATTATCAGCTGTTTAAAAATGGAAGAACCAATACATATGTGAAATTAGAGGTGTCTGCCATGTCCAGCTAAACAAGTCAGCAGAGGCAAAAGTACAGTGAGCAAGTTTCTGTGTTGGGGAGATGCTGTGGGTGAGCTGTGCCGTGGGCTGGTCTTGGGAACTAAACTAAAATCAAATGGTGAAATAATATATTTTACAGTTTTTGTTACTCAAAGGCAGCTTTCGTGAAATTAGTTGGCATTGCTGTGTCTCAGCTACAGTTACAACTCCGTTGTTGACATCTACACTTTCTACAAGTTGTAAACTCATAAATACAATAATTGCAGTGTTACATGAATGCAGCATTAGCCCACAGGAGTCAGTAAAATAACAAGACTCTGCAAGGACAAAACTCTCATGAACAGTCTGCTTCTGTCACCCCCACCTTTTCTCTATAGGTTACATTTGGGCAAACCCCACCCACTCTTATTCACATTAAAAGGGGTATAATATGGAGGATGAGCCCATAGCATTTTATGATACCTAGTAGATAATGGTGTGTGGGTGGCATGGAAGGGGATGAGCTATGTGCATGCTTCTTCCCAATGACTCCTAAGGCTTTATTAGTTGTGGACAATGACAACAGCTCTTTAATGCAGCTCCTTGCCTGCTGTAGGGAGTGTCTGCAGTGAATTTAATCTGATCCAGAGGACATTATCAGTCAGCTGAGAGTGTTCAGCACTGACCTCCTAAAAGTAATGATTGACTCTGCCTTTAATGTGGCTGCAGCCTCGACCCGGGCATAAAACCATCTGTCCCTCCGGTGACACCTGGAGAACATGATCTCAGCAGGACCAACTGTCCTCTACTGCCACTTCTTCACCTCCCATGCTTCTGCCTCACCAGGGCATAAAGGCAGCCCACCATCTGTCTGAAGTTTCTTTTATAAGGGTATCAGTGATGGAATGTAGAAAAGTACACTTACTCAAGTACTGTACATAAGTATAATTTTGAGGTACTTATACTTTACTTAAGTATTTGCATTTTTATGCTACTTGATTCCTTGACTCCACAACATTCTGAAAGCCCACATAGAACTTTTACTCCACTACATTTGTTAGACAATACTAGTTACTTGTTACCCTGTAGATTCAGATTATTCACACAGAAAATAAATTAACATACAAATGCCAGAGTGTTAAATTAAGCCCAGCAGTTTGTTAAGTTAAGCCCAGCAGTCTGGTCAGTTGGAAATGATCCCCACATTTACTAGTGGCAACATTAGTGCTGCTTACACATCAGTGCATTACTAATTGTAATCCAGTTATCCATAATATATATAATTATCTAAAATTGGCTGCATGGAGTGCTATTTGCCAATACTAAAATATTTATTGCTACTTTTACTTAAGTAAAAGATCTGAGTAGTACTTCCATCACTGAATGGTATTCACAAATGTGTTTTGTTAAAGTGTACCTCTGAGTGCGACTTTTTGCATACAAGTATACCTTTATCTTAAAGACAAATTGGACATTTTGTGAAAATTAAATAAAAATGCAAGGCATTTCTCAGATGTTTGTGATTTGTCCTTTTTTTCTTTGCAAATTTCCCCTGTTGCAGCAGGGCTGACACACAGGTCTGATGAGAAAGTGTTCCATTGTGAGACATAGTGATCAGCAGCCCAGTCGCCAGAAGGCAATGTTGGCTTTGTGCGGTTAGGCAGATATGTTACATTTGCATGTTGCATGTATATCATAATAACATTTCTAAAGTGACATAGTATATGAGCTGCTTTGTCATAGGGAGGTGGAAATGATGGTGGATGGCATGTCACCCACCTGCCAAGCTGTTGCAGACGTTTGCTCGAGACCAATAAATAACAAAACCAGTTGTATTTTAGTGAGTCTTTGCTGTATTTCCAGTGGCTTTTTAGGCACAAAACATGGGTGTTTTGTAGCAACTTGTCACTGTGTTTCCAGCTGGGACAGTGGCACGAAAAGCAGTTGTTTTTTACAGCGACAATGCTGCGTTTCCAATGGGGATTATGCGCCCAAAACCAGGTCATTTAAACCAAAATGTGATCTTTTCCAAAATCTAAACCACATGTTAACCACAGCAATGTTGAAACATAAAGTGTTAACAAATCTGCCACACAATAACATGCAAATGTAACGTATCCCTGGTTTTCAGAAATGAACATTGCCAACATTTGTTATGGCAATTGGGTTTTCAAGTGTATCACTAGTTTTCAGTTACAAACATTTTTACATTTTTGTTATTGAACTACAGTATGTAAATGTTAGGTAATTTATCAGAATGTTAGATTACAAATGTGATTAACTAATGCTGACTAGTACCAACATACTGTATATTCCCAAATGCCTGTCTTTTACAGACACCGTGGAGTTCCCTGATCTCATGTCAAAGAATGTGTGTTTATGATAAATATATTCTCAGTAATAAGGCTTTGACAAATAGAAAATATGCTTTTGAAAATTGCATGCTGAGTCATTTCAGTCATCTGTCAGTCTCTTTATCTATCCAACGCTTCGTTTCAGAGTAAAATACTGGACACCTTTCCAGATTGGAAGGCTTTTCAGTTTGTTTTGATTATCCCTAATGATCATATCTAGCACCTCGGTCAAGCCAAAATTTGATCAACAGTTTGGTCAAGTCTGCTGTGTGGGCTTCAATGGCACGATCACACTGACTAAGAGCGTGTGTCTGTAAAGAACGTTCCAAATAAAACTTCATAATCAATGTGTGTCTGGAGACTTAATGTGAGTAATGTTAGTACGATTGTGGAGTACTGATCTGCTCTTTCATGGAATGTATCATACAATATTCAATGCCGTACAATACAAGCAAGCAGATTCATGCACATTTCAACAAGTGAGACTGAAAGTATTTCTAAATGGCAGGTTGCCAAAGATAATAATAATAATAACAATAATAATAATAATAATAACAGATTTATTTTCTGACCACTTTGTTCATTTTGCTTCTTTCACTGAAAATAATCCCTCTAAAGTTGCTAATGCTGTTGCATAACAAAAGGCCAGCATGAACATTGTTGAGTGTGACAACAGTTATTTTTGTCTGTTAAATAAATGTCCTGGTCATAATCTTTTAAGGCTGTGACCTTATGTCAAGATTGTCAGTGAAGAACACTGATGTGTGTTATAGAATCACAATTGCTGGTAAAGAAATGGCAGACACCTCTGGTTGCTTTATGGACCTACGTGGTGCATGATAATGCAGATTTAAAGAAATTTAAAACATGGTGTTACAGATTTGCATATGCCAATGCTTGCATGAAAACATCGCAGTGAGCCTCACCTTGTAATGATCTGGTGGATGGCTTAGCAAAATTATGATGAGAGTTTGATTATAAGACCGTCATCCCTTCATACTGACCTTTGACAGCAAGACTCAATATTTGAGTCGTTATATTATTTGCTTGTGAATTTGACAATGATGTTTAGCTTTCTATCAAATCTCTCACAGCTCATAGAATAAATGCCCATTGTTGGGTGAGTCACACACCATAAAAACAACATACATACCACTACATATAAACAATCTCAGAATAATCTGTCTCTCTGGGCTGGATTAGTTCAGCCTCTGTAATCCTCATCATGGTACCCTCAGATGAACAGATGGCAGATAAGACAAAATCACCTCTAATTCTCATCTGCTGACTGAAAAAAGTAACCAAAAAAAAGATATAGGAGCTTAATGAATCAAGAGTGTTTTAAAAAATACTATTCTAATGTGTTTGAATTAAAAGACATATTCACTAGACTCAATGTATTTCCCCAAACAGTAATACTGGCCATTTTGGAGTTTCTTAGATAATAAATACATCTGCAATATTATTTAGAAACACAAAAGTTACTCAGTGGATATTTTTTCTTTAATAAATGTAATATATTTTTATACTAATTATTAGATTAAGATCTGTTCTCCTGCACAAGTATATGGTATAGTTTCAAAGACCAAACAAAACAATTAGCTCTGATCCATGCATACTGTATCAACAAAAGTGTGCATTCACATGTACTCAGTTAAACTATGCACTCAATATAACACAGTCAATACTGATTCATTGGTTATTTATTTGTTATTTGGATTCAAAGAAAAATACATTTGACCAAGAACCTGATATATGCATGTCACACAATATGTAAACCACTAACATACCATCAACTATATTAATAAACAAAGAAAAATATATTAATATATTTATACATAGAAACATACAAGCATCTGTAGAGGTAATACGGAGAGAAATAATAACCACAGTATGCAAAGTAGGATTTAGGAGCATCTATTTGCAGACATGGTGTATAATATCATATATTATACTATATTAGTTTATCATCAACTGAAAAAAAGCAGATCCTCTGCAGTGGCCCAGAATGGCCATGTCAAAAACTAGCTTAAGATAAGGCCATTTGCATTTTCACATTTTCATGTTGGCCAGCATACTGTAGTCCCCCCCCCCTCACACACACACACAGGAGAAGTTTCAGTTCTGCAACCTCACCACTAGATGCCACTAAATCCTACACACTAGACCTTTAATATATGTTTGGCAATAATTTTGTAGAACAAAAATAAATTGTAATTTACATTTATACGATTATCAGGTTTTCACAGTTTTTTGGTTGAGCCATAGGTAATCTACCTACATTTCAAAATGAAGCATCCCAGGCTGACTCATGCACTCGTGCATATGCATGAGCAGCTGAAAAGCGAGGTCCAGTAAACAGGACAAATAGGTTTTGCATGCAAATAGCATTCACGAGCATAGTATATGATGTCAAGATTAGATTTACAATAGTTAACACCTGATCTGCTCTTCTTAGGTTAGATTTCATTCTGCTTTCAAGTGATGTCTGCTTGTATTCAAATTGACTAACATTTAGCATTTTCTGACATCATCCATAATAATGCACTCCTGTGGCACTTCCTGGTGTAGACCATACATCAGACATCACTTGAAAGCGTGGCTAATGGCTTGTGTAATTCTTAGGGCAGATTCACACAGTGATTCATCGACTGGAATGAGATGTATGACCCACAACAAACACGGCTAAGGTAAGGCACCCCTGCATGTTGTGTATTGGTAATATTGGCAGGTGCAAAGTCAGAGGTCAGGGCTGAACATGAAGTCCAAAGCTTGTCTCTCTGCTGCAGCCACATTTGGATGCCAGAGGTCCACACTCAAAATGACTCTGGGTCCAGCATCTGGAGGCCCTTTAGAAATAGACACAGATGCAAGATGAAGTAAAAATGTTGCAGAAATTTAGGGCTAAACTCATTAAATGGAGCAAAGAAACCCCAAAACTTGCTGCTTGTTTTGTACATAGAGCTTGTGTATTGCATTCCATTTTTATTTTTGTTCATGCACTAAATAATGAAAATACAATCAAGAGTAAAAATTAGAGTAAAATGAATGTCACATGTTCTTTGAAATTGTACTTGATTCACTGACCCTTGTGGGAGACAGTGTGGAGGAACGAGTCATCAACCAGGAGGCAGTGTCCTTCTGACCAGCACTGAGGCTCCCCTCCCACCACCAGCTCACATAGGGGTGGAGTCTGCAGACCTACAAAAGTGATGTCTGTTTTTAAAGTTTGAAAACGAAATATGGTTTCCCTCAGCTAAGAAGGCCATGCACTCCAGCCCTGGCTGTGTTTAAAACTGAGAGGATTATAGCCAGACGGATAACAGTACAAAATAGGCTAAGGAGGAAATGAACCCCGACCCACAAAGTACAACATAATGCAATGGTTTAGTATTTTATCAGGTCATTTATCTTTCTCTCCTTTTTTTAGTGTTGTCAGTGAAAGATTTTTCAGATTTGTCGAAGATGCAGATAAATGCAGATAAACCATGATGAGTGCATTTCTTTCACTCACCAAGATGACAACGTAGGCGTGTATTCGTGGGTCCGTATGAGCTCCCCAGTGTAGCTCCGGGCACCAACAGCCAAAATCCAGCAGATCCCAATGAGTTGCTGCTTATGAACGTACGTAGAGAGAGAAGTGTCCGATAGGTGCGGGGACAGGAGCGACAGTTTCCTGCCACAGAGACACCTGCACTGTACAAAGGAAACACTGCCTGGCCCTGAAAGAGACAATGACCTGCAATAAACACATGACCCCAGTGAGACACATACACTCACCAACCACTTTATTAGGTACACCTTGCTAGTACCAGGTTGGACCCCTTTTGCCGTCAGAACTGCCTTAATTCTTGGTGTCATAGATTCAACAAGGTGCTGGAAACATCCCTCAGAGATTTTGGCCCATATTGACATGATGACATCACACAGTTGCTGCAGATTTGTTGGCTGCACATCCATGATGAGAATTCCAAAGGTGCTTTATTGGATTGAAATCTGGTGACTATGGAGACCATTGGAGTACAGTGACATCATTGTCATGCATTATCCTGCTGGAAGTACCCAGTACACTTTAGTCGTAAAGGGATGGACAGGGTCAGCAACAATACTCAGGCAGGCTGTGGCACTGAAACGAAGCCCATCTGCTTCAAGGTTCGACGTGTTGTTCATTCAGAGATGATCTTCTGCATACCTTGATTGTAATGAGTGATTATTTGAGTTACTGTTGCCTTTCTGTCATCTTGAACCAATCTGGCTATTCTCCTGTGACCTCCGGCATCAACAAGGTATTTTCGCCCTGAGAACTGCCACTTACTTGATATTTGACCCTTCTCTGAAAACCCTAGAGACAGTTGTGTGTGAAAATCCCACTAGATCAGCAGTTTCTGAAATACTCAGACCAGCCTGTCTAACACCAACAACCTTGCCTCGTCGTCTTGACCATGTCCACATGCCTAAATGCATTGAGTTGGTGCCATGTGATTGACTGATTAGCTATTTGCGTTAACAAGCAGTTGAACAGGTGTACCTAATAAAGTGGCCAGTGAGTGTTCATCAGAATTAAACAGGATAAATCAATTCATATTACTCTTACATATGGTTCAGGTCAAATTTGGCTCAGTGACCCAAAATGCACAAAAATAGAAATTTATGAATGAAAATTATTTGACCCGTATCTAATTAAATGGAGTCTGTATGGGTTACATCTAAAAAAAATAGAGGTTTTAGGGAATCTTGAAACTGTATATGTCTGTGTAATTTCTTTTTATGGGACAGTAGTGATAGAGTTCAAAGGGGACGCAGACATTGCCACGAGAACTGCATGTGTTCCCACCACATTTGCCCATATTTTCCACATTTGGAAATCTCGAAAAAGTGAAAGATTAAAACAGCAAAGACATTATGATAGTGCACATAATGAACAGAGGTCATAGGGTGACTTAACACTGTTGCAAGATCTACACCTGCAAGCACAAGCACCTGTAACATTACAAGATAACCTGGGGTTGGAGGGGTTCGTAAGACTATAAAGGTATCTGAACAAGACATTTCAGCAACTAAAGGACTGCATACCTTTGGTCCCAGACAGGTCCAGCCTAGTTTGGAGTCGATACCCCTCTGGTATACAGTCTTGAACTCAGCCAAAATTACAGAGTAGTTGGCTTCCAACACTTCAATGTCATGTCGATGAGCATCTCGTGGGAAGAAAGGAACACTTGGGACATCTGGTAAGAAGAATAGATGAGGCTTCTGTATAGCAGAGTGATCATTCAGTCTGACCTAAAGTGAGAACAATGAGAAATCAATTACTCATTCTTGATGATGTTTCTTTCCTCTGCTGTTTACCCTTGACGTGTATGGATTATTCTTTTACACATGATTATGTACATGCTATGAAAACAAACCTCTGGATCCACAATCCGCAATGGATTTTGGAGTGATAAATGTGATAAACAAGTACTAGCTTATGGCCTGCATGGAATAGACTTGTACCTGCTCACGGAGGCCTTTATGAATGCGGCCCATGCCCACCCAACTGTAGCGCTTGGCATACTCTTGCAGTGCTGCGTAGAGTTTCTTGGCTTCTGCAGATGCCTGGGCTGGGAACAAGGCATGACTCAGCACTGGGGTGAGGTAGCCCTGTCCCTGTTCCTCATCCTCCTCTGTTTCCATGGAAATAAAGGGAGTAATTTGATCACTTCTCGACAGCTTGGACCGTGCATTACACTTTGTTCCAGCACAGCTACCACCACGGGACATCATGGACCGCCTTGAGCCTGACTTGAGCTTTCCAGCGTGTGCGTGGCCTGGGATTGGCAGGTCGGAGCCCATCCGATAACAGTGCCACAGAAAGAGTAGCAGAAGAGTCCACAGAAGGCCACTCAGTGAGTGGACACCCAGCTCAACATATGGAGGCAAGGGCAGTGTGTTCATTGACCAGTGCATCCTTTGATTTGTGAGACACTAAGATACTGAAATAGAAGCAGATTGAGAGATTATGGCAAAGCATATATATGTGTAATATGACAAGTACGAGAAGTACTATAAAATTAAAAAAAATGAAAATAAAGATGTTTTTATTGGCCTAGAACTTATTCCTTAAGTAACCCCAGACTTTCTACACCCCGAACTATGAGTCTTTATGGTGATGCTTTTATTTCTTTTTTAATCTACATAATAAAAACAACAATAATACGATGTTTTCCTACAATCCAAAGATGTTATTTTTGCTTGTCAAAGTCTTACGGATCATCGTATAAAGGGATGAGAGGCCCTGTTTGCCAACAAGCACAGCCTAAAGGGAATGATGGATTGTCCTGGATTCAAACAGCCCTCTCATTCATTTATTTTCTTAATCCCCTTCAGGGTCACAGGGAGCTGAGGCCTATCCCAGCATGCATTTGGAAGAAATTAGTGAAACAGGTTGCCGGTCCATCGTGAAGCCACTGACCCTTTGGTTAAGTTGCCTCTGACACTGACTTCATGGGGTTATGTAAGCCCTGATCTTGGACCTCTCTGAGCAAACTCACTGTGGATGTAGCTTAAGATTTCACTGCAGGCAATATTCTCAAGTCATACCAGGGCTTTCATCCACAGTCATAAAACTAGGCTGTCTTTGCAGTAGAAAGACATAAATTCATTTGAACTTGGTACTACGTGATCAGAGAAAACAGAGGAAAAGGATTTGCTTTTGCTCAAGAGGTAGAAAGCCTACAACAGTGATGTTTTTCTGTGGGCCAACAAGGAAATTAGCATCGCCCTGGTTCCCTCGTCAAAAAACTTATAGGAGTTTTCCATTGGATTTTGGATTATTGTAAAAAAAAATCTGTGTCAAACTTTTATGATACTAACATATTTTGTCTAGCAAGATCATCTCTACAAATGTACAACTTTTCTGATTTTTGAGTTGTAAATGCAATCACCAAGAGTAAAAAGCTGACGTTGGGCTATGAACAAACTACATCACGGTTGCATGACCCATGTCCCTACCACAACAAGGCTGTGAATTCATGTTCAGTGTGATGACGTTCTGTAGTCTCATTTAGCCACTTGTTAGCAAGTGCCTTTTTTAAGACACATAAAACCCTAAAATTAGCAAGAGGGGTATTCACTGATGTATTTTATGTTGTAGAACAAACTTGAAAGCCTCCTAAGCATGTGCTAACCATAGACCTTATTTCAGGCATCTAACCAAAAACTCATTGACTTTGAGATGAGGGAGAGTCATTACTGGAGCACTCTACACTCTTTGTGTCCATGGTGGTGGGAATATGAAAATCAAGTAGTTTACTTGACAAAAATGCAGAAGCACAATCTGTTCTTTGCCCAACAGCCCTACAGGTAGCTAAAATTTGGGCTGAGAGATAAGCAGAGAGATCTGGGCACTACCCACTTTGTTATAATACAAAGCTGGTTAAAAATCAGCAAAGTATCCTTTTTATTCAAATTAAATTGGGTTTTCCTTTGCAACAGTCGGGTCTATAAAGTAAACAGACAACAGTTAACTTATGACAAGTCAGTCCTGTTGCCACTTTAACTTTCCAACAGTATTTTCCATCAGCCTCAACTTTTATCTAATAACATTTCATGCATTATAAACAAAGGAGTGGTTATAAACTGTACAGCGCTCTCTTTCCTATTAGTTGCAAAATATGTCTCCCTTCATTTGCTTACAGGTGTTGTTGCTGACATAAATAACGTTGGAACTCACAATAGTGACATTTGGGGGGATTTGTGTAATTTAAGATGAAGGTATTGTTAAAATTCATTTATATAACAAATATTGACATTACATCGGTAGTGAGCGTTGCTATTGTGTATCTATCCAAATGTAAAATGTACTCAAAAATTGCAGAGCACCCATGACATGGACACTTATTTGACCTTGACACCAGTGCAAAGCAGACCAGATGTTGCAGTCGGGCTGTGTGTAAGTCATATTTTCAGAGCATCAGACAGACTTAAGAGTTAGATTTCTTTCCTCTTTTTTTTTTACTGTGAACAAGAAAACATGAGTGCATGCACAATTGTGCGTGCATGCGTGCGCGCGTGTGTTTTAGGTGGGTGGGCTCTTTCCTAATAGGCTTATTCCAACGGATTCGTTCTGTAGTTGCATCAATTACATGCTATGTGATGATACTGCCCACTGGAAACACCTATAGGCTACAGCACGGTTAGCATCATGGAGGTGTTCCATGAATTGTGGACTTGGGTCTCTCTTTTTTGCAGTCGCTTCAGCATTCATTTTGTTTTTGCTCTGCACCAGCCCCCACAGCTCAGCTGGCTCATGTTTAATGTCCGCATTCCATGTTAGCGCAAACATCCACCCATTACAGAAAACCACGGCACAAAATGTTCGCCATGCATACCGTATGGCACATGCAGGCCTTTACATGAGCAAACAAACACGATTTACCCACTGCGTGCCGCATCTCACATCTCATGTCTGATTACCTTGATATACCGTGCAGCAGCGCTGTGTCGGACACACTTCAGCACCGTGCTGGTGGACAGCTCCTCCAGCGCTCACAGACAAAATGTGGGTATCTTCCCGCGCGCCGCTGCAGTTACCGAGTGCGACCGCTAGGGCGCACCTGGAGCTTCAACACAAATGCCCTCACATCATAGCCGAATGCGTCAACCACACGGTAACCAGCTAGGGGCATCTCACCAGCACAAACCCCGCCGTGTTCTCGGGGCCTAAAGCAACAGGATACTGTCCAAGTAGAAGAACACAGGAGGACGCAGCCTGGAAGACAAAGGTAAGCGGCAGGCACCTTTCAATGTTGCTGAGATGGTTGTCGGTCTCACAGTGGTGATGACTGATGCCAAAAATCGTCCTCCGCACAAAGAGGGCCGGGGGAGGTGTGAGTGATGCTGCCTCGTTTAGCCCCATCATTTTGTCACACACCAGGCTGGCATTTTCACCGAGGAAACGCCTCGAATTACAGCGGAGGTGCTTTTAGACACATTACCATTAACAGGTTGATAATAGAATAAGGCTTAGAGGCTACCTGCGGCGAGGGTAGGCTCCGTTGGTGAAATTTGGAATAGCGCATTTTCGGGCATGTTATTGCAGATTTGGGTGAGAAAATGCAGGGGGAAGCCTGAATACTTAACCTACCGTGTGCGGTGTGTACCTGGCCTTTTTCCTTAGACCTGCAGAATTACTTTTATTACATTGTCTTTTACGCTTCTGTATCGTATGAACTGATATATTCCAAATTGATGGTGCTGAGCTTTTACAACGGTCTAATCCGAGTCATTGTGGCCTGTGTGATGTAAACATATGCGCTGTACCTGGATTGGGAGAGTGTTTTAGATAATGTGACTAATAATGTGATATTCATTAGCACTCCAGTGAACATGGATTATTTCTATGCCTCCTGCAGTAACTGTAAGCCTCTAATAGGCAATTACATTACAGTACAAGATACAGTAATTGTTCTATTTATATTATGTCATTATAGTTTGCTAATCAATTGCTCACTTTAACCTTCCCAGGTCATTCAGTTTCATTCAAAGCCATGGGGTTCACACGCCTTGCTGTGATGCTTTCTGTCACCATGATCCACCTAGTTTCAGGTAACTAACTGTATGTGTGTATGTGTTCTCTGAGCATGCACCCTTGTTGTTCCACCACAAACATGTACTAATGCATACTTTGCTTGTCTCAAATGTAGGGGAAAAAATATTCTTCTATGCATTTGCTTTCCATGTCCCGCCATTTAGATTTATGCTTTTGCAAATACCAAAGCAATAATAAGTTATGGCTATTTCAGGTATGAGCTTTATGACTCCTGAGCCTGATACACCACCAACATCAACCCCAGATTCTTACCCTCTGGGTGACCTGATCCATGCTGCCCTGCAGAGTAAGGAATACTTAGGAGAGGCTTCTGCAAGCACAGGTACATTAACACAGGTCTTTATGACTTTTTAAGCATAATGAAGCTGAAGCACAATATGGGTGAATGATCATTGGAAATGACACATATTAAGTTGAACCTTTGGACTCTGCAGGTACTACCACTAACCCGACACAGGCTGTGCCTGGACTTGGGCAGACCGAGTCAACAGCGACAGTCATATCACCAGGGCTGCTCACCACAGCTTTAAGCTCCTCTTCTGCTGCTGGCCAGACAGGGTCAAGGAATACCATGTCCTCGCTGCCCATAGAGGAGGAGACAACCACCACTCTGATCACCACAACCACCATAACCACGATGCACATGCCAGGTACCTGCATGCCAACACTTTGTGTCCTCTGAGTCTGTGTTTATTGATGCCAGTTGATATGATTCTGCAAAAGCAATGTGAAAGAAATGTTTGAGCAAATGATTCAGCTCTCCTAGAGCTGCTCAGATTTCGGTGGCCCCGGCAGTGACGACAAATTCCAACTGAAACACTATGGTGCCCATCGTGACTTTAGTCATTTCTCTTCTCTGCCTCTCTTTGAAGAAAGAGTAACAAGAGGATCTTGACAGACAAGGTAACATGAAACACTCATAAAATATTAATGACTAAACATCAACAGGTTACCTTACAATTTCAGTTATGGGTAAAGGAAAAGTTGTACATGTACTTTACATATATTTTTTAGAAAATTGTAAAACAGCTACATAACCAGTCTTTAGTAATTTAATGCTCATTTTTAAGATAGCTATGGAGTCAACATAGCTATCTGCTAATAATATGAAGTGACATGTCGTAGCATACTCAGTTTTCAGTATTGATTTTAGATTCTTCCCTCACTAAAGACTAACTAACTTTGGAGCATTTATGTTCGGTAAAAGTAAGTTGAGAACATATAAAGTACAGACATGTTTGTCGATGTTTCTGGTCTTACTACTGCAGGATAATGTGATTCTTGTTCTTTCAGGATCCATGCTTTAAATGTTCAGAGGAACACAAAGAAATGAGAGTGTACACTAAATGCTGATGAAGATGAAGTCAGGGAACCCACTTCTTCTTCCCCATTGCTCCTCCATAACCTAAAGCCAGAAAGCAGATTGGTTTACCAGCTTGAACTGCTGTGAGATGACCGCAGCCAGATGTGCAGTATCAGTTATATGTCTTTCATAGACATGTGCATCTTTGACTTAGTTGATGGTGGGGATAGCTGGCACGGAAAATAGTTGCACATATGGCGTGTCCAGAAAATACAGCACAGGCCAGTGGAGGTGTCTGGGTTAGGTAAACAGGATGATCATCCTTTTCCTGTTAAATCTGGAGAGAGCAGGGTCTGTATATGGTAGCTTGAGTGACTAACTTTGCTACCTACAATGTGCACTTTTCCCCATAATGCTTTCTGTGAAGTGATTTTAATCCAAGTCACAGACTACAAGATATATAGAGATAAAGAAAAGCACATGACTTACAAAAAGATTTTGATGCTTTGAAACCAGTGAGATATGAAGCGTAAAAGGGGAACTTGTATCTTTTTATCTTGGGATTGGTCTATCGTCACAAGACTCATTCGTTATTAGTGTCCTCTTAGTTGACACTGTCACATGAAAAGTTCTGTATCAATAAGAATCTTAACAATAAAGTCTAAAAATCCTCTTTGTCTGTTAGTTATTATTACAACAAACAACAAATTAAATGTAATCAGTGAGCATGAAAACAACTTCTTGACTGAATAAAGAGCAACCAGGTGAGGCCATAAATACTAATATCAGCCCTGTTATTGTCCTAATATCATAAGAAGAGAAGCATTAATTTGACAAATCAGTCAGTCAACAATGCCATCATGACCAGAATACTAATCAGGAGTGGTGGAGAACAGAGTAGCATCCTTGTCAGAAATAGACTTAAGTGAAACAGTATTACGGCATCTCCTCTGGCTGGGGTGCCTGTGCAGCTCTCACTGCAGGTGGATGAGAGCTGTTACTCATTCTGGTCATGAAATAAAAGACACCATTACAGCAACGGCTACAAATGAGAGAAGCACGTAGGAGGTGGGTCAGCTGATTTAGAGAGAAATGTCATGCGAGATGAATGATCAGTGAGGTGTGTGTGTATATGTGTATCAGTGTCAGTGTCAGTGTATTTGTCACCTACTTACTCAGTTTTACCATTGTTTTTTATTGTGTTTCTACTGGGAACTTAAATTTCAGCCCCTATTAACACTCTCTAAATAGCGAGGAATATATATCAAACATGTTTACCAGTCATTGACAAAACAATCGCACCCTAAAGGAATAGTCTGGTATTTAGGGAATTACTGTTAGGCATTGCTAAGACTGCCAGCCCTAAATGGGTTTTTGGCATCTCGAGATTGTTTCCAGATACGTTTTACAAAGTCTGGACACACATTTGAAAGTTGATTGAAATGCACTTCCAATTGGAGTCTTCAGATGTGTCTCAGTCCAGATGCTCTGGCCACGCAAATCGGATTTCAGAGTGTCTTTTGTGTTACATTACTGTATCGCTGAAGCAGAGTTTTTCCAGCTGAGCTGCTTGCACAAGCCTGTCTCACCCTATGGTCTCACCACCAGCAGGACTAATGAGAAAAATCTGACACAATGGACACTATAGACGTTAACTCTGGGGTCAGTGATGTCACATACAATATAACATTACAAACGTTGATGATCTCTGGAACGCTGCATGAGAGAGAATTATTCAGTTTTGCCCAGAAGCTAACATTAACTTCTAAGCAGCTCCAGTGAGGAATCTGGTGCAATCGTATCGCTCTCAGAAGCAGTTAATAATCCAACCTTGAATTGTGGTGTCTATTTTGGCGTCTTTGTAAAATGAATCCATTATGATAAATCTGTGACTTGATGTTTTCTGAGATTATTTATTCATTTTCTCAATTATTCATTCTGTGTTCAAAACAGTAATTGTTGTTGTTAGCTGTCATTTCTCATGTTTCTGTGCTGGAGCTCTGTGGTTACTGATGTCAAGTCATTACCACAGCAATCAGGCTGGTGCTGTCTGTACACACAAATCCAAGTGTGGACAGTATGTCTTGAATATCTGATTTGAGAAACAAATCTGATTTGCTAACAGTTTGGAAGTAGACTTATTCTCTTACTTGCCAAGGGTGTGATGGGATATTGATACACTGATATTGCTCTCATGTATGTACGGAAATACGAAGCTGCAGCCTGTTAGCTCAGCTTAGCAAAGTGACCGGAAACAGGGAAACTGTTAGCATGGGTCTGTCCAAGGATAACAGAATCCAGTCAGCATCACCTCTAAATCTCACTCATTTACTTACTGTGCCTTGTTTTTTGTTCTGCATGTAATCGAAGTTGAAAAACAAAAAAGAAACTGCAGGTTATCTGCTGGACTACTTCTTGACAAGTTGTCCAGTCACTGGGCAACCACTGGAGACTCCAGGAAGTTACTGTTCCCCGCCATGTGATAAGCTGCATCCGCAATCGGGTACTATGCACTACATACACAATATGTGTACTATTGTTCAACATACCTGTGTGTACAAAAACAATAGTATGCATCTCTTTGGATGCACTGAGCTGTAATCCCTGCGTCACTTCCTGAGAGCCACCTTGTAACCATGGTAACCTGTGCCAAACTTAGCTCTACCGCTAATTTAAAAATAATTTTTAAACTTTAACATGCATAGCAAAGTTAAATCATACACTTCTTACATACCTTCACTTAAAAGGAAGTGTAATTGACATTACAGCGGTGTCTCGGTCGCTGTCTATTAAGAATGTTGTCCTCTACTGCATTGCACTGTGGGATATATAATGTTTTCATACTAAGGTTTCAGACCTACTAAAAATCGTGCATACTGTTTTAACCTACTAAATAGCAGGTTAGAATATCACATAACCCTCGTCATACACTTAGGTTTTGGTACAAAGTATTAAATAAACATGATAATCTGTTAGTTAGAGGTCCTGGTGGTCAGATTCTTTTTTTATCTGTGGACACTGTCATTTACAGTACAAGCTAATGCTGACTGGCAGCTGGGTCCAGCTGAAAATTTACAGCACAGAAATTAGAATAGTGTAAATCGTCACATCTGACTCTCAGCAAGAAAGCAAATAAGCTTTGTTTCCCAAAAATGTCAAACTATGCCTTTAACTTTTCTGAAAAGAACTTTTAAATGCCATTACGTGTTGGGGACACAATTAATTATATATTATCTGCCATGAAAGAATTATGTGATACTGCAGTACAAAAGCACATCTGCTAAACTCAAATCTGTGTTTGATAATTATAGAGAGCTGCTGCATCTGAGCAGCCAGAATTTTCATTGTCACCTACCTGTGTCCATGCTCAGTCAACACCGTCAGCTGAATTACTTCACTTATTAAAATCTGCCATATAAGTGAAAAGTGATAAGTTTTTTTTGTTTTTTTTTTGTTTCTGTTGATTGTCAGCGAAATGGACTGTGAAACCCTTTGCTCTCCAGATGCCATTTGTATTACAATGGCTGGTCAATAATTTGATTCTACCGAAGCATAGCAGCAGTTTCAGTCATGCGGCCAATAAAATAATTTAATGCAGGGCAATCCGATACACTACAGCTTCACCCAAGGCGATGCTTCAACTCAGCCAGTACTCACTGGTAGGAGCTACTTTTCATTTTTACCCAGTTTAATTGGTGTACTGTTACTAACAACTACCGCTTAGTGATGATAAACCAGATTGTTATTATCAGGATCAGATTATGTTTTCTTTGTCCCACAAGCCAAAGATGAGGCAGGAATGTGCTGCTTCTTCCCCCTATAGATAAAAAGATTAGGCTATACTATGGCTGGTAGTTATTGTGACAGAAAATATACTATAAATTAGCCTCACACAAATAATATGTGGATATTTTGGACAATATGTAGACTTGCAGTAGACACTGGCTTAGAGCTTCACTCTGCAATATTCAGTATTAGAGACTGATTTTATTATGCTGTTGTAGTATATAGGCTAGTTGAAAACTATGTCAATATGAGGGTTAAAGCTATAGTCGATAACTTAAATGGAAATAACTTTTCCATATTGTCACTATATTCACACTGCACTAAATTAGACGGATAATTTGTGAAAAAATATACTCCTGTGCTGACTTTATAGCCTTGTAGTATGTCTAATCAGTCCCTTCAGGATTTCGCAGGCTGTTTCTGTGAGTGTTGCAGCCTGACATGCCTGATTTTACGGCAATTTTTCTAATTGCAGTGAGCATTGTGATGTTTATGGGCATTCTTTGGCAATTAAATTGTGGGGGCAAGTGAAAACTACAAAAATAGTTGTGATGCCATCTCAGATTCTGAGCATATAATTATGAGCATTCAGTGTTTCCAACAGAATCAGAATCTATTTGTGGTGGTAGCGGGGTTGTAGGGTCAACAACCCATCAGCTGTTGGTGCGATTCGACGCAGCATTGAAGGACCGTCCCTGTGAGAGGCTCTCCTCCTGCTCTCTCTGCCCAGATAGCATGAGCTAATCCAGCACATCACTGCTCATTACATTTTGTCACTTAGGCAGAAGCCCCGCAGCAGCAGTTAACATCCAACACCGAGCTGTTAATCTTACGCCAACACCGAAATGGCACAACTCTGTCAGTAACTGTTGGGTAACATTTGCCACGTGATGCTAGCAGTTAATGATGTCTAAGATGAAATTAGATTTTACCCTTTTTAAATAGTCAAATTTGCAATAATATTGCAGTGACTGGACAAAATTGCAAGGTCACACAGAATTCACAGGGATGGCTGAATTTGCATTCAATCGTGGAGATATCTAATGGCCTTACTGCATGTGAATGAAGACAACCAATCGGAGCCAAGTAGTCTTTAATGCAGCTGTCAATCTTGTTAAACTGTCAAACTAGGCAGTGCCGATCGACAAAGAATCAAGATTCTGTTACCGCATTTCTTGCCTCACATGTTTTCAGAAACACATTTTAGCGTACTGTTTTGCTATAAAATGAGAAAGTTGCCACCATGTTGGATACCATTAAACTGGAGTACCAAGCACCACCCACCAGCCAGACCAGCTTCCTCATTGTATAGCAAAACATTATGGTCAGATATGTTTATGAAAAAATATTTGAACATATTTCGGAATGTAGTGACGGTTTCAGCAAATATGACAACTTGTTTTCATAGAAGTTACCAACCGTACCTTTAAAGAATTGCATATTGATATACTTTGGTTTCCCATTTTACATTTAATGTTAATTATCTGATGTGCATAGACTAATCTGTATGTATCCATATATAAATGTGTGAAGTTATCCATTGTTCTTCAGATAAGGTAGTTGTAATATTCCTTAAAAGGACAAGTATACACTTTTAATGTGATAGAGTACATTGATTATAACAAAACATTTCCTAGAAACAAGACTTCTCAATTTTAAAGACACCACACAGAGGCTTCTAATAATTTTTGATTATTTTCATGAAGGAGGGCAGTGATTGTATGAGAGTGGCCGTGGCACTCACATGGATAGACTGTAGTGGCCAGGGGGGACCAGTCTAGGGTGGGTGTGGTGCAGCCAACTCACTTTGGCATTTGGCATCAAAATGGCCTCAGCATTCAGACATGTTTGCTATTTCTCTCAACAGAGAAATGTGTCTGTGTCATTATAATAGACATTGCTGGTTATCTAAACACCAATAAACCCAAGAAAAGCATGTCTTATCAACAATGCATATATTTAGTTGCTAGATTACAGTACTGGCAACATTTTCTCTTCCCATTCAAGCCCCAACCGAAACTACAATAATGATGCAATCATCATTTGCTGCCACATTCATGAAATTTGAAAAGGTTTAAAGCAGATAACAGAAATATTGTCTTCATTGTAGCTTTATGTACGTATTTTCAGCATATGCTTGCCACAAAGGCTTCAAGATTCACTGCACTGGGAGATTTTTGTGGAGCTCAGTGATGTTTCCCTTTATCCTTTTGGTACTTTGATGATTTGCACAGTGGGGATGGGTGTCACTGGCTATCCAGCAGTGCACAGCTATTTTGGTGTCAAGGATGACTATGATTTGCATCTCTCAACACTGACCTACTTGAAAGAGTTTACTAGCACGGGTTGTGTTTTTTGTTTTTTGTCGTTAACATTGAAGGATTCAAACCCAAGAAGACCTGTCAAAAATCAGCTTTAAAAAACTCATACAATCTGTTTTATACATTCCTCAGCCAGTGAGCACATTTGTTCGCACACCAGAAATACAGTTTTAATTCCAGTCAGCCAGGCAGAGTCTGACCTGTATGGTTATAATTCTTGTCAGCATCAGCCAGACACAATTGCTTGCAGGATCAAGGTCTTCCTTTCAGTTTACTAAATCACGACAGCATTGCTACACATCTGACAGCAGTAAGAGAGGTATTTCCCACCTACACCCTCTAATTTGAGTAATCATTTAATCCCAGCACATGTACACACGCCTCAATTAATGCAGAACCTTGAATAAATTGTGAGCAACCAGCACCAGGTACTGCTTTCCCTTTGTGCTGCTGCATATGCAACATTTACTCGGTAACTAGAAATTTTAATAATTTCTCAGTTTGTGCAGTGTAGATGATCAGGAGTGTAGGAGGCATCTTCGAGAATCAGTGGACACAGTTCACACAGTTCAGTAAAAGACATTGTAACTTCTCTCTCATCTTCACATCACTGAATACTCACAGCAGCAATTGCTCCCACCAATCCTCATCCAAAAAACATAAGGTTACTGGGATGCAACAGCAAAATGCCTCATCTGCTTCTGTCTGTGTCATTAAATTGCCTGCAGAGATGTTTTTTAAGTGGCAAAAGATAAACTGTAGAAGCAGAAATTTGTGTTATGAAATGTAGCCAAATAAAAGTTAATACAATTTTAATAATTGCAACCAACAAAAGAGATTATTAATAGTATAGCATAGCCTATTGGAGAAGTTGTGAACCTGTCAGTATGCTGTAGTGGGGAGGACACAGCTTTTAAAGGGATGAGAAGAGCTGGTTTAATGTCTCCCATGTGCACTGGGCTACATGCATGTTGACTTGCCTTTGCACAGTGCAACTTTCACTGGCTGTGAAAGTATCAGCTGATAAAAACAGCTATTTATCTCTCTTTGCTCAGAAACTGCAGAGAAGCAAACTTCTTAAACTACACTAGGTGAAACTATTTAAGTCATGTTGTTGCTATAAAAACCCATACGTAACTTGCGGAAGCTTTCCTGTATGAAGTGAATTTCAAAAGCATTAGATGTATTTCCCAACTTGCATTTTTACTTTTCCATCTCTTCACAGTACAATGCAATGCGACTTTGTCAGCAATGGAGGATGTTGTCGAGTCACCAGATCCTGCGTCATCATCCTCATCATTTTCCCCTCTGGAATGCACCTACAGCATTACTGTGTATGCAGGTTATGGTGTGGAAATTCAGGTAATGAGCCTTATCTCTGATGAATCCACAAACATTCATCTTGTCAAATATTAAATTTTTTCAAAGACATTTTTCCACTGTAAAATAGTTTGTTTTAATTGTGTCTTTGAACTGAATATGTAGACTTAATGTAACCAAAAAACAAATGCAGTGCCTCTCATTATTAAATTAAATTAAGACTATTCACAAAGCGCATCTTCTAATGTTTTTCATTTGTTCATCCCAAAGATGCAATATGACAGGTATATTAGGTATGTCATGAGTTGGGTAAGGCTCGGGATCAGTGTCAGTGACTTAGTGATTACTTCACTTGTTACTGGACAAGTTTATTTATAAAAGACAGCTGCCAGCACCAGTTGCATGACATTACTTCCTCCTTTTTCCCTCTAGGTGAGAAAGGTTAACCTTTCCAAGAAAGAGTCTCTGACGATCATGGGCTATGGAGGTTTGGGACCAGAGCTGTTAGCCAACGAGACCCTGATGAGAGAGGGTCAGGTGATTCGCAGTACAACCAATCAGGTGTACATACACTATCGCAGTCTGCGACAGAGCAACCATGGTGTGTTCAGCCTCCACTATCAAGGTAAATTAAACCTTTGGGTTTCAATTTTTATAACTTTAGATATATTTTCTTCTTCAACAGTAAGATAATTTAACTGATTTTCATTTTCCTGTATGCATGAAGAAGTTTTAATGTGGAATTAAAACTTGCATGCCTGCATATTTCCAAGCATACAGGCATGGTAGATGTGGGAGCAATAGTGAAGAATCAGACCACCTCAGCACTTTTCATTACATGTTTCAACTCTTTCATTTTAAAAGTTTCTTGGTGAGAATTCTGAGCTGCACAGTCTTCAGTGTGTTCTCTGAGCCCTCTTTTGTTTAGCCAAGCAGCGCTGAGCTCCACACTGCGGGTTAAGTTCAATGGAGAGAAAAAGATTAAAAATTTATAACATTTATTAGGAATTAAGAAAGCAGCAGGGAGAGGTTTTGCTGATTGGACTCATGAAACAAGAACCCATGATTGGGCCTGTCATGATAGGACAGCAAAAAATTTTGAGGTTACGTCCATGTAATGTGGCATGGTGGAGTGGTTGGCACTGTCACCTCACAGAATGAGGGTTCCGGGTTCAAATCTACCGGCCGGCTGGGGCCCTTCTGTGTGGGTGTCATTGTGGGTTTTCTCTGGATTCTCTGGCTTCCTCCCACAATCCAAATACACGCAGGTTAGGTCACTCTAAATTGCCCGTAGGTGTGAAAGTGAGTGTGAATGGTTGTTTGTCTCTATGTGTCAGCCCTGTGATAGTCTGGCGGCCTGTCCAGGGTGTACCCTGCCTCTTGCCCACTGTCAGCTGGGATAGGCTCCAGCCCCCTCTATGACCCTGCACTATGATAAGCAGTTACAGAAAATAAATGAATGCATGTTCATATAACATACAGTATTACCCTTGTGTTTACACACGTTTGCTCAAGTAAGAATGTCACCAAACATTTAGCCAACATGATGCCAGAATAAATAGCACAATTTTCCCTACCATTATAAAACTTGGATGCAGCCCCAAAGCAATTTCACAGTGCTTAATTTGAATGAGCAGAGAAAAATGCTGAGACAGTTATTTTATTTATTTTTTTATTTATTTAGGATATTTTTTTCACATTACAGTTTCAATGTGTGAATATTCTCAAGAATTAAAAGTTTGTTGCTCTTTGAAAGGGTGTATCAGTGGAATGAAATGGCCTTAAAATGACAATTGTATAGATTATATCGTTTATCGCAATTATTTCTGGGGCAATGTAGTATCCACCAAAATTAGTTATCGTGACAGGCGTACCCATGATGATACTGGTGAAGAGACAGTAAGACTGTTCACCTGGGACTACCATGGTAGTGTGGGAGGTGGAGGGAACTTTTTAAACATTTTTTTTAATCTTCTACTTCTACTAAAAAAAAAACACCACTCACGAGCTATAACACTATCAATATTACTGAAAAAGCATCCACACACTTAGATCTATGTAAAAATCTTGCTTTTTTCATTTATTCATCTTTCTGTTTACAAAATAGATTTAATTTCCTTCCTGATTTATCAACATCCACAGCCTTTCTGCTGTCCTGCCCATTCCCTCAGTCTCCTGAGGGTGGCGGAGTCACAGTGACAGACATCCATCCTGGAGGTCAAGCACACTTCCACTGTGATCCAGGTTTCCAGGTTCGCGGCCATGAGGTGGCCACTTGTGTCAACACAACACAACCACACTGGAGCACTCCTGAGCCACAATGTGTCGGTCAGTAAACTCATGCTGTCTAGTCTTTGGTTACAGCATGATTGCTAAGGTGGGTGATTTTGGAATATAATAAGTGGGATATCATCTTTCCTCAGCTGTGTCTTGTGGAGGGTGGATTCGTAATGCAACAGTGGGACGGATACTGTCTCCACCTCCTCCATCTGTCAGCAACCACAGTAATGGAAATAACTTGAGCTGCCACTGGTTGATTGAAGCCAAAGAGGGACACAGACTCCACCTACACTTTGAGAGAATTGCTCTGGATGAAGATGATGATAAGTAAGTTTGTTTCCACTAATTTGTGTATCACAGAATCAACAAAAATAGGTTTATAAATTTTGTTCTAGTATCTCTCCACATATCTGTGTTCTTCTTAAAGTAAGATCAGTGCAGCCATAATGCAAATTGTTAGTGTTTTTTAGCCTAGACCCTCTCCGAGTAAGCTAGGTAGACTGCCACTCTGTGTTTTTTTGTACTTCTCACACAACACCACTCAGCAATTTCTTTCATCATTTAAATATAAGAAAACATTATAGGTTCTGTTATCATAAATAATGCAAAAAGAAAACTGTTCATCTCATATCTAAAAAAGAAAAATGGAAAAAACAAACCTCTTCAACTTCTAACTGAATGAAAACAACATTTTCGAGGTTTGGTTTTTATTGTTCAACATTTATTGTTCTACATGTCACATGTGACACCAGACTTGTTGATGTTGATAACCTTCAATCTGCTATCCATGCACATTCAGACACTGATCTGAACAAGTTTCTCTCTTCTCAAGCTTAGATCTTTGTGGTTTATTCCTCTCAGGTTAATTGTGCGCAGTGGAAACAGTTCCCTGTCTCCACCGCTCTTTGACTCAGACCTGGATGATGTCCCAGAGCGTGGGTTGTTGAGTGAGAGCTCCACACTGTACCTGGAGCTCACAGCTGATTCTTCCTCCATCCCTCTGCTGCTGGCACTGCGATACGAGGGTGAGCCGAGAGACTTTGGATGCTCAGCTTTACACGAGGTCTTTTCCACATTCAGCAAAACGCAAAGGCAATGTGTCACTGCACATCCCTCTGAACTCATTATTGTGTAATATTTAAAGGGATAGTTTGGATTTTTTTTGAAGTGGGGTTGTATGAGATACTCATCCATAGACAGTATATTACATACAGTAGATGTTAGTCGACATGCTTCCAGTTTGGAGAAGCAGGCTGGAGTCTGACATGGAAGCTAAGCAATGTACTGCTGTGGAGGGGTCAGCAATATAACGTATATTAGCCAAGTGTACGCCATATGAAGAATATTTTCGCTGCTTTGCCTTAATGTCAGATAGTGATTTTCAACTGGAAAATGGAGTCATCATATCACTCTCGTCAAAGCCAGGCTCCACTGAGAAAAATAGTGATTTAACATTGTTGAACGCAGGAGTATTTGGTATACCACTACCTTGAGCACATTTTGTTTGTGTTATTGTGTGACTTGGTGTTTAAAAGGGTTAGTTCTGACTCACCAAAGTCACAAAATAACACAACCTAATGAAGCAACAGGAGACCGACAGCTCCCCTTTTCATCAAGCTTACATTGTTGTTTGTGTCAATGGAGTCTGGTGGCTTTGGCAAGAGCATAAATGGGGACTTTAGGGCCTTAACGGCTTTCCTTTCGGAAATCACTGTCTGATGGAATGGTAAAGCAGTGAAAGAAAAACTCAGTAGAACTCAGTACATTGCTTTGCTTCCATGTCGGAATCCAACCTGTTCAAAAAACTCTTGAAAGCTTGACCTTTCTAACCTTGATAAGTTATAAATAATTTCGATGGATAATTAATAGTTTTCATGTTATATTTGAAGTGGGAATTGGGTTTTAATGGGCTGTCTAGAAAAACCAAGGCTTTCTTCTCATTAATTTGTTGTTGTGTTTAAGAGGGCCATCATGAGCCACATAAGTGCTTACAGTCTGCCCACGCTTCAGTGGGATTTATTTAAGGCTTCGGAGATACTCACTGCTTAAGCTTTTAGTGCCTTACACCTGGGCTCTTTCTAGCCAAGAGGGTTTGAGATTCTGGGTCATCCCAAGTGAAAAGTGACACTGCTCCCTCCTCAATTAAAATGGGTATGGTTGCTTAATTTCGTCAAGACTAGAATACAAAAAAAAGGAAATAGGGAAATACTTTTTTCTGATCAGTACACTTCTTTTTGGCCTTTTAATTTTTAGCTTTCGATGATGAACACTGCTGGGAGCCCTACATGCCTCATGGAAATTTCAGCAGCAGCGACATCACATATCAGCTGGGCACCACTGTTGCATTCACCTGCTCTCCAGGCTTTGTCATGGAGCAAGGTTCAGGGACGATTGAGTGTGTCGACCCCAGCAATCCCCACTGGAATGACAGTGAGCCTGTGTGCAGAGGTAGGATTATGGATTGGGCTTTGGTTGTATTTCAAAAAGTGAATCCACTGTGTCAGCCAATGGTGTAGGTTTCATTTTAATGTCTGAAGGAGTACAAGGGGTGAACCTATGAAATGAGGGAATTGGCGGCCTTCTGCTGGAAAATTTTGAGTGTGAAACACTTGCTTTCCTGCAATATGGTGATTTTTTTCTGCACCAAGAGTCCTCTGTAAGTTTCTATACAACGAAGGAGATGTGTCCCCTGCTTCATTGCCAAAATTAACGCTTATGATGTCAATCCTCATGCCAGCAGTTTGGGAAATCAAATTGTTTTTTATTTTTCCAATCATAATTACAACCTGCATTATTCCTTATCCTTCCTTCTGTTGTTTCTGGGCTTCATTTTCTTAATTTAACCGAACCCTTTGATATCCAAACTTAGTAGTACTAATTTCCAAAACACATGGAATTTTGTAAGTTTTTGCATGAAGTGAGAAAGTCATTTGATTCATTAATATTCAAACTGTATTGTGCTGAGATGGGTGCCTGAAGCCTCAAGATGTTGTAGCTTGAAGGCTACAGCCACGCTGACTGTGTCATCTGCTGATCTGCTGGCATGCTGTGAAAAGTGAGAGCAACAGAGAGACTGTGACAGATTTAAAACTGGCAGAGACGTTGCACCGGGTCAGGGACTGGCTGAAAACACAGGTGCTATAGTTTCAGCCAAGCGAAAGATATTCTGAAAGCCATATGCTGTGTAGTATTTTTGCTTGTAGATTCATAGACAGTGAAGTGCAGGAAGGTGGATGGTGGGATATTGGTTACTTTAGTGCTATGCATAGTGAAAAAGTCAGAGTTTTCGTCATTGTCCTGAGCATCCATGTATGGCAGAGGACTGTCGTTCTCAGAATGGAAACTGCTTCAAAAAATTAGGGCTCAGCTGGTGGTGGGGAGCGCTTGTGTTTATTCTGCTCATATTTGCCTGGTATGCTCTCACAGAAATACATTTTGATAAATGTTGTTGTTAAAATGTTCCCAAGCAAGTGCATGTATAATGCACTGTTTTATTCCATCACATGTGGCTTTGAAGAATCATGGATTTACTCTACATCCGATGCCCATATGTGTTTGTGTGCTTCACAGTTGCATGCCTCAGTTTTAATAGGGGGTGCTTCATATGAGAGCAAGTCCCGGCATTGTATGTGAAGTCAGAAGCATCCTCCAAACACAATCAATCTGAATGTGTTCTCACAGGCTAAAGGGTTTGCATGGAAATAGAAGTGCTGCATTTGGCTCCTATCACTGCAGTTGTCATCTCCCTACTGACACACTTTCCTAGCTGTTTGTACTGTATCCCTACGAGGACAGGTTGCTGTGGTTAATGTGAGGTAATGAGTGTCAAAATGAGTGTCATAGACTTTTATGTTCATATTCTGTGATTGAAATATAGCTGCAGAATAATATTCAACAAGCAGGCTGCAGATAAGGTAACTGTTTTTAATGATGCCATGGAAACAGCACAGATGGGTAACTAATGAAAGTTTTAAGTAAGCTGCTGCTTATGATGCCATATTCTACTCAGCTCGTCTTTCTTTTTTATGTGCCCTCTGAAATCTTTATCATCTCTCCTTGATTGTTTTACTGTCTTTATTTTCTCCCTCCATTTATAATTCATTTTTCTCCAGTTGCTTTTCTTTTTCCAGCCTCTGCTGTTATTTCATCATCCCTTTCATCGTTCTCTCTGTCTCCCAGTCCACGTCCTCACTTCACTTTGTCTTCTTTTCTCTCTTCCGCCCTGCAAGCTCTGTGTGGAGGGGAGCTGACCGAGCCGTCGGGCACCATCCTGTCTCCTGATTGGCCCCAGAGCTACTCCAAGGGGCTAGACTGCGTATGGCAGATCCATGGCAATGAGGAGAAACGTATTGAACTGGATGTCCAGATGTAAGTTATGCTGTTAAAAAGTAACCAGCCATGTTTGTGTGTGTGTGTGTGTGTGTGTGTGTGTGTTTTTGTATGTGTCAGCAAATTGAATAATTGCATACTGTCTTGCTTATGTCATAAAGAAATTAGCAAAAATGCAGTGCCCAAATATAGCAACATAATTCCTTCACTTCACGGACGTTGCTTCTAATTTTCTTATTTGCTGAGTTCATAGTTTCACCGAGCCCACGAGGTGCCATAGTGAGGAGGATGGTTATTACATGCATGTACTTTTTTAATGACCTAGATACCAACTTTGTATTTTACTCACCGAATCAAACCACTGGAGAGCTAAATCTAGGCTGGCAATCAGAGTGACTTTTTATTCACAGGAGAACATGGTTCAATACTACATTATGTAACATCTTGTATTATTTGTCACGCCATCCACAGTCAGACAAAATATCTCACAGATTTTGCACCCAAATTCTGCAAATTCTTAGTAAATGTTTGAGTGCGAGAGGCTGTAAGAGTTCAAAATGATAATGTATATCACATAACTTTGACCAAACTTCAGGGGTCATTCCCTGATTTGAACATCTTCCAGTTGGTAATTGTTGATTAATCAATTCAGTGTATCCTCAAGCAATGGTTTATATGATATCTAACAAATTAGCAACCCACAAATGATGTCACATACTTAACGTAAAGTTACATACTTAACATAAGGTATGTAGGTTAGGTTTAGGAAGAGAAACATGGTGACAGCATAACTTAAAATAGCTCGTAGTTTACTTACTTTTACATGGCTCAGAATGCCAGTGTCTTGGGGGAAGTCCTGTATTGTTTGACCTATCCACCACCCCAAGCTGCCTCCTTACACAGACTTTTGGTCTTTATGGTACTTCCTTCTTTCATCCCATCAGTGCATTGTCACATGATCACAGCCTTCCTAATTACATGGATTATACACAAATTACCAGCTTATAATTATGTGGGTTATATACGAATTGTTGTGCATTACTTTCGTAAGTATACGTATGAACAGTGTCATCCCCTCTTTTCCTACATTCACGCTTAAGCTGTCCTATCAAATTAAGGCAAAAAACCCAAACAATTATCATTAAAAAATGTTATTTAATACATGTAATGTATTAAATAATTATTATTAACTTTGTATTAATTAATCATGTATTAAATGTAATCAAAGTACATACAGTAATAGGATCAGCACTCATTTGATTGCCAAATGAATTGCAAAACTCAATTGAACCTGCATCCTGTTGTCAAATTCAACTTGTGTGCACCACATATACACAATTTCAGCTCATGATTTATTTTCCTCTAATAGCACATTTCTTTTGTGATGAATGTGTATTTACAGATTGTACATACTATACGAAACATCCTTTGTACACATGTAAATTGCACCTGAACGAGACAGAATAACATGTAGCAGCTTTATATAATTTGCCTCTCCTGTCTTTCCTTTCTGTACTGTGTACTGACTAATAAAATGCGTCAGGTGGGTGGACTGCTCGTCTTTAAAGAAAAAAAAACAGAATCTGTCTGAGGTGAATCCTCATTGCTCTTTTTTATTCTCATCTCTCCTTCTTAAAGTTTAAATATCCGCCACACTGACGTGCTGACCGTTTTCGACGGACGGGATCTCATGTCCCATGTGATCGGACAATACCTGGGATCCAAAGAGCGTTTCCAGGTTGTGTCTGGGGGGTCAGAAGTCACCATACAGTTTCAGAGCGATCCAGATGATTCCAGTTTCATCCTGAGTCAGGGATTCCTCATCCATTATCGTGGTAAGTACACTCCTTAAAGTGGCAGTCTCAAAGATTTCTGTTGTGGTTGATTTGGCGACATCTGTAGTTAGTGGTGGTAACAGCAAATGTGGTTTCATATTCAGGTCACAGAGTTCTGGGGGCAGCAAAACAAACTATTGTGATTTTAATGAAGAAGTCATACAACAATTAGCCCCTTCCCATTCTTCTGTGAGCAACCGTTATCTGATTGTATGCTGCACATGACATGAGTCTGCAGACAGCGGGGGACAGTGAAAGAAGTTTGTCACCTTGCTAGGTTAGAGGTGTGCTGTCTGTCGCCTGTAGTTTTTCATCTAACAGCTCATTGTGGCTGCTCCTTAATGTTCCACCACTCTCTGCAATACTGTGATCTGCTGTTAATGAAAGCCAAAAATGACTGTTGTCTTGTTTTATAGATGCACTTTTGATGAACGATGGTAGTAAGTGCTATGCTCACTGAAAAACACATTGCATTTCCTGTGATCCCTTTATAATAAAAGTCAACTTGTGTTTCACCAGTGAAAAGCTTTTAACTTTGCATTTGCGGTTACTTAATGCAGCATTTTCTCAGCACGTCACCCTCAACACCCAGCTCTTAATACTACAAATATATAAATACTGCAATGCTTTTATCAATGGGCTCAATCCTCTTTATGTTATCTTATTCAGCAGTAGATAATGACTTAACAGACATTTATTTGAATAAAAATCTTATTACTTTAAAGGTCCCGTGTGTAGGATTTAGGGGGATATTACATTCTACAGTAGCCCAATACGAACAAACCAAACACTTGCTCCAGATAGGGCTATTCACATTTCTGTGTTAGCCACTATTGTTAGAGGCCTATTGGCAATGAGCAGCATCAGAAAAACACTGATTTGTAACGTGGAACTGCTTTATTCAGTATTTTTGTCAGTTTAAATCACCATGTGCGTTTGTTTTGCAGAGGATAATTTGGCTCCCAGTAAAAACCTCCTGAACAATGAACACTGAGGGAATTATAGCCATGAGGAGTTTCAGCTGGTTGCAATCTGAAGTCCTCACCGCTAGACGCCGCTAAATCCCCCTAAATCTTACACGGCGAACCTTTAAGTAGCTGGTTTTATGGCTCAAAGCATAAAAGTCAGGACAAGTGTTGTGTGTCCCTGCGGAGAAAGACATCGTGAACAACCTCTTTTCATTTCTTTCATTGCTCTCTGTCCGTGTTACGCAGAGGTCGAGCCCAATGACACCTGCCCTACCCTCCCTCAAATTGCCTTTGGGTGGATCAGCTCGTCCCACTCCTCCCCTGTGAGAGGCAGTGTGCTGACCTATCAGTGCCAACCGGGATATGACATCAGCGGCTCCGACATCATCACCTGCCAGTGGGACCTGTCCTGGAGCAGCAGTCCACCTACATGTGTCAAAGGTCAGACAAGTGGTGGGACATATTTAAAAGATCCAGATTTGTAACTTTTGTCAAAAACATTAAATGCAGTCATCACCTGTGCTGCTATTGCACCTCTGTTCTTTGTATTGAACAGTTTTTGATGAAGTCAGAATCAAGTTAAATGCTAATATATGTGTTCCACTGTGTCCCCCACAGTCCAGCAGTGTCCTGACCCAGGAGAGGTTGTAAACGGAGCGCGCTCTGTGCGCCCCGAAGCAGGTTTTGCAGTTGGAACAGTCGTACGTTTCTCTTGTAACCAGGGTTATCAGCTGGAAGGTCCCAGCCAAATCTCATGCCACGGACGAGACACCGGCACTCCCAAATGGAGCGACCGCAGCCCGAAGTGTGTCTGTAAGTCTGTTTCCTGCACTCTACTGATTTATTCTGTGTGCATATGATGCTTATTACTGAAAATTTAGACATTAACTGCAAATACGTTGCTGTGTTTTGTGCTCTGAACAGTAAAATATGACCCATGCCCAAACCCTGGGGTCCCTGACAATGGTTACCAAACCTTGTACAAGCACAGCTACCAGGCAGGAGAAACTCTGCGTTTCTTCTGTTATGAAGGGTACGAACTTATCGGTGAGGTCATCATCAGTTGTGTTCCTGGCCATCCCTCCCAGTGGAACAGCCCGCCACCCTTTTGCAAAGGTAAAGGTTATCACAGTCTCTGGACTATCTTATAGGCCTACCACTGTTTTCTATCAGGGAACAGAAAAGGACAATGGCCCGAAACATTCACTGTGTTCAGATTTGAATTAAGGAGGTTAAGTTTTTAAGATAAGCTCTCTTTAACAATGTTTTAGACCTGCATAAAAAAATAGTAATGAGATCCTGAAGGTGCATTTAAGACTTCAGGTGTAATTTTCTAATATTTTTTTTCTCTTCTGTGTCTCTTTTCTTCATTTGACACAGTGGCATATGAGGAGCTTTTGGATGATCATAAATTAGAAGGTGATTTATTCTCTCTTCTCCCATTTGTGATGTGCATAAAGTCAAATAGGTCATTTTAGACATTTAAAGCCACATGTAAGATTTGAAAATCTCACATTGGCACCATCTAGTGGTGGTATCATGAACAACACTGTGATCAACACTGCTACAAAAGTCAAGTTGTATTGTTGTACACTGGCACCATGGGGGATACAACAGCTTTTACAAACACTGTTTCAATGTACTTCACTAAATATATCGTGCAATTTATGCACTGATGATTGTGTTGCTAGGCCTGCACTTACATGTAGTTTACTGCATACTGACTTGTGCAGTGTGAGAAGTTGGACAGGGTAGTTTCGTCTCAAATCATCCACAGCAGTATATTGTTTAGCTTCCATCCAGGTAGATTTAGTTTATCAAATATGATAACAAAACAACAAAGTGCATAAAACAAACACATCAGAAACGCCAAACAGGTTGGACCACCGTGTTTGACTACATCTCTTTAAACGCTACAATTACGGCTGAAAATGGCGACTGAAATCAATTTTGCCAGTTTCACATATCTCCACAATTGTAATCAATTGCCATTTTTCTAACCACAAATTACTGTTGTTGGCATGACGTCATATATGTCTAACATATAGGCGATGTTAGACAATTTAGCTCTAGCAAATGAAATGTAAGTGCTAATTTGTGTATTAAAAAGGTAAAGGTTTTCCAGATTTAGCATCTTATGTTAATGTGTTTGATATTATTTTAGATTAATAATCAAATCAGCACAAAAACATCTTCATCAGCTTCTTTTTATGACAACTCTGTGACTGTTTCACAGTGTCTCAATCATTCGAGCCGTCTCATCAGATCCTCAGTGAGAACATCGCTTTGGCAATAATCCTGCCAATCATCTTGGTCATCCTCCTGATCGGAGGAATCTACATGTACTATACAAAGTGAGTAATGCAAGTAGCTAAAGTGACTTTTAATCCTTGACTGATTCATAACACTGCTTTTACATTTCTTCACCTCAGTTCACAATAATGTTTAAATTTTAGCCTTTATTTGAGTGGTCATGTGTCATTTTATTTTCTTGCTCACAGCATCTGCAGACTAGAATGGAAGCCGCTCTTCTGGAAGTCTCTCTCTCACACACACTCCTACAGTCCCATTACAGTTGAGTCCGATTTCAACAACCCTCTTTATGAGGCAGGGGTGAGTATTCGGCTGTTTTTATTACTAAACTTTAGAGTATTTTATGTATGTATCTTTATATCTAAACTTAAGTTTTTTAAACTATTTTTTACTGGTTGATTTCTTTGCCCTCAGGATACACGGGAGTATGAAGTGTCCATTTAAAGGAGTAAATCTTTTGGTGAGAATTTAAAAAACGCAGAAAGATTCAAAATGTTTTGGAAGAAAAATTCCTTAGTATTATAAGGCCTCACTCCCCTTTTATCATTCATTTCAGATTATATTTATGTTTTGCCATCACAGTATCTCTGGTTTATCAATTTGTGGAAGCGCTTCATTTTTGATTTGTTGCACTGATACGGTGGTATGCCAAACGTGGGTCCTACTTCACGGTCCAACTTTCTGTATCATTAGGACTGGTGCCTTATGAAGGGTAAGAAATTGATAACTAACAAAGAAATAACAGTGATGGAGGCAAAAGAACAGGAGAGGTAAAAAGGGCAAAGGTAAATTGGTTTATTTATTAAGTTAAAATTATTACGAGGCCAAAACATTAGAGGTTGGCAATACTTCATTTGTAACTGCTAAAAGTTGCAGTCATGAGCATAGAGTACACACTGAATGTTTTTCTTTCATTTTTAGAGTGCATTTTACAAAGTGTTACAGTAAAAGGGAAGAATACTTTAATTTTGATCATGAGAAGAAGTTTGAGATCAACACAGTCATTTTTCTCTCTTCCTCACTTTGTCTTTCTCTGTGTAACACACACATACACACACACAAATTGAATGTAAATATCTGACTTAATATTGATTGAGGTTGATATATATATAAAAAAAATTATATATATAAGCCTCATACTATATACACTTATACATGGTGGCGGGAGGTTATATATTTTCATTATATATGTAATGAAAATTCAGTGCCAAAATATAATGTTAAATAATTTAATGTCCCTAAGTGTTTCATCTGTTGTTGCAATACTGTTTACAAAGGCAGTGTTTATTTTATTCTTCGCTGTTTCTGGAGTGCATCGTCACCCAGTGTCACACGACATATAAGGAAAAGGTGAGGACATGAATGTCATTATGCTTAGAGCATGCACTGATTGTAAATTATATTGCTTCTGCTCAATCTTGCCATTATCATTATAGTTATTGACAGTTATCATTGTTATCAGATTTGATGTTGTATGCACTATGTTGATGAAAAACTACAAACTTGGCTGCTTGCTGTGATGCATTATGTATTTATTTACAACTGATTGTTTGAACAGTGAATGTGGTCTCATTCGCTGTGCCAAATGAAGGATCTTGGAGACTGTTGCTTTGTAGACTTAATTCTTCTCTTATCATCAGTAGCATTTCTTTGCTTCATATATGAATACACTCTTTTGAAGGCAGTAAATTATTTGCTGAACTGGAAATAAAGTCTCTGTTGAATGGTGTAAAACTTGTAGATGTGATCTTTTATTTTTCCAAATAAATTGGTGTATATACAAAACATGTATTAAAGGAGCAGCGTGTAAGATTTAGGGGGATTTAGTGGCATCTAGCTGAGGGGATTGTAGATTGCAACCAGTTGAAATTTCTCCTAGTTAGAATTCCTTCTATGTTTATTGTTCAGGAGGGTTTTTTTGTGAGCAGGATTATCCTGCAGAGGTCTCTTCCTCTCCAAAACAAAGACTATGTGATTAAAACCAGTAAAAACACTGAAAGCAGATTCATATTAAAAATCTGTTTGTTTTTTTTCCAACGATTAGTAGGTGCTCATCGCCTAGCACCTACTAATGTGTGCTCACCTTTTTTCTCTGCTAACTGAAGATCTAGACGTGTTTCTACCGGGAGCCAAATTATTCGCAGAGGTCTCATCCTTTCCAGAGAAAATGAAGCAAGTGATTGAAACTGGTAAAAACACTGAAAAAAACACTTTCATGTTACAAATCAGTGTGTTTCTGATGCTGCTCATTGTCGAGGGGCTGCTAACTACTGCAGCCGATGCAGTATGGATGGAGAAAACACAAAAGGGTTGAGGTCAAAAATGAAATTTATTCAATAATGTTATTTACAAAAGAAATCAATGGGATGTGAACAGTCAGTAACATCAGTGGTGTGTGAGTGCCAGCATGAGTAGAAAATGGTGTATGAAGATGTTGCATCCTGAAAGAAAACAGTGAGGCAGCCTGAACTGCCAAGCTTTGAAGGCTTGCTGGCTCATCAGCTCACGTGAGCAGGCTCCCTACTGACCTGCACTACCAGCTCACCTGCAAGGGGAGGAGAAAGCACAAGCATGCCAGGCAGAGCCGAGACACAGGAGGGGGTCATCACACCAGTAACTGGTTTGTTCATTCTGGACTTCTTTATAAACATGGCAGTGAAACAAGGTGGAAAACTCCACGGATGAAGACCCATTCCCTATGTGGGAGTAACAAAATATAGTGGCTCATATTTTTAGGTGATTAAAATCTAAAGAAAACATGCTTATTATATTTTATTCCATTTCTGCCTACATACCCCCCTAAATCCTACACACCGGACCGTAATAATATCTCACCCATCCAGTGGGGGAAATGTCACAATGGAAAAATAATGTTATATGTTTTAGAGATCATTTTGAGCTTTCATGGCTTTTTTTTCTCCATAGCTATAGAAGTGGAAAACAGGAATAATAACCTAATTTGGAGATTAACTGTATCTTTAAAGTAGTGATTATTGTTTTTATGTATTGTTTTTCTACCTTGATTATCACTTATTGATGGCTACTTTATTTTGGAAGTGTTTACCGGAAGCGCGACCGGTAAATTTATTGCAATTTATTATTGCAATTCCTCACTGTTACCACCAGATGGCTGTAAATACCCACTCTATTCATTATTCAGGTCACTTTCCTTGATGCTAAATGAACATTATTAGAAGGATAGACTGATCCTCACACCAGCAAACTGTTGATAAAATGTTACTGCAATAATCACACGAGTATAAGTTTCACATATGAATATTAAAAACTATTTTACTGATATTACTGTAGTAGTAACACACGTTTCCATTCCTAAGGGTGGCGCTAATCCACCTCACAAGCTGCCGTTTCACAAAAAAAATAAAGTAGAAGAAGAAAGTAGCGGAAGAAGATGTGTGAGTTTCGTTTCCGAGTGACCTACTTAGCTTTTAGCATCAGTTATTAATCGTTATGTACAACAATGGAATTAGCCTTTCTAAGTTTAGCTGTGTTTTTTTCTGATTGTTAGTGTCTGATTTTTCACCCAAGAAGCGATACGACACAAAGGAGCGTTGCTAGCTTAAGGCGTAGCTAGATAGACGAGCCGTTGTTAGCATCTTTGATTTAGCTAGGCTCGCTGCGATTGAAATGAGTTGTCAAACATTAGCTGCGTTGTAAATTCTCTGTTAGTATTCGCTGGGTAGCTGATTTATCGATTGCTAGCTGCTTACGTGAACACATTTAGCTATCTTGGCTTAGCTAGGTTCACTCTTGCAGCCCCCTTGGATGTTCAGTGTGGTAAGTAACAGTAGCGTTTCAATTTGTTATAAGCTAACTTAACCTTATTTGATTGTATTAGCCTAACAAGTTAGCCTCTATCATGGCAACAACTAGATATAAGATATTTCTAACTAACGGTACTTGTGGTTTTAGCCACCCGAGTTTTTGCTAACATTATTTCGATAAACACCTAACTTTGGTGATAACTGTGTTCAGCTTTAGGTGGTTGTAACATTGCTGTGGGCCAACAGACGCCCAGTCAGATGACAGGACAGTCTACGTGCATGCAGCTAATGTTGGATAACTTATTGCATTAAAGAGTAAGGGGTGAGACAGTGCCTCCTGTATGCCACTGAGATGAAGTGTGGAAAAAGCTTGGTAGCTAACTGATGCACTTTCCACAAAAGGAGCAAGTCATTAGTTCAAGTATAACTTGTTTTTCAGTTTGGAAATAAAATGGTCATTTGATGTATATTAAGAGTATTTTCACACCTTTTGTATTTTGTTCACTTGCTGGAGAACGAAATCATTTTTTAAAAATACAGGAAATACAATAGGTGTGGTTGAATAATTTGGGTTTTTTATGACGATTCATAGGAAGCTTACCTAACAGTTACTGTAACAACATTAGCATATCATAACTAAAACAGTATGGCATGATCACATTCATATCCCCTCACCCATCATGATTCACCAATTCTTGAGAATTGGGACAAATCTTGGCCTGCCAAAAAAAACCAAAACCTTAAAATTATACCTTATACCATATCAACACACTAATTCCGTTTCAGGGGTTAAACTTTACTTTAAAATGACTTATATATGTGAAAAAGATATGATTCGTTATACATTTTTGATCTATTTTAATTTTTTTTAACTTCTAAACTCTCCCTGTGTTAGAAAACACCCTGGTCCCAGACAAGAATTGACAACTTCAAACCTTTAAAAACATATTAAAAGCCTTCAAAATCTAAAACGCTGACAGTACGTGCTGATATTATTGGTGTAAAAATATACGGCTATAATTATCTTTGTTTTAAGATGTCTATTTTTGTGAATATGTTGGCCTTTTAGAGATGTGTCCCAGATTTTTGTCAGCTCTGTCAGATTTCTACAAAAGCATAATTTAATCAGGCATAAAAGGGGTTTGTGATATCCTACATACTCCTGTCTTATTTTCTGATTTCTGAAAAGGTGGTAATGCTTCACAATTACTTGTAAGCTTTCTTTTTTTTGATAAATGCATTAAATAATATTGCTATCGGGTGTGTTTCAACCACAGCACGTCAACTCCGTAGCCCTCCTAAATCAGTATTTTGACAAGCATTCAGAGAACCCTTAGTAACTTTGAAAAATAAAATGGCTACTCACTACAACTGCTGTGAAACTAAAATATAACTTTTTGTCAGCTCTGTCAGATCTTACCTCTGACATCCATGATGTATGCTATTCAAGACAAAAATAAATCATGGGAGGTTGGCCCATTACAAGGTGAAAAGCCAAGATATTATCTTTTAAAATATATTTTCCCAGACTAATTATTATTACTCCTTGCTTTTAGCAATGTAAATATTTCATGCTGGATATGGTACCACATTTGGTCTCTGTGCTGCTTTTGTGAACACAAATAATAATGTCCTCAGAATCTCAGATTCAACAACAGCCTGTTTTAGTGGTAAAGGCCATTGTAGATGGTTTATCCACAGAGTTGTGAAATAAGAGGCACCTGAAATAGTGAATATGCACATTCACTTTTACACGTGTTGTTGTTCAGACCTGCACTAACAGGCCATCATATCTCTCTTTCTTACAGTCAGGAAGTGACTCTTCAGCCCCATGTCTGCTGAGGCTTCAGTAGGCAGTCATGCTGCTGACCCGGCTGAATCTGCTGTTTCCCAGCCTGCCTTCCACAACACAGATGAGCTCAGAAATCGGGGTCTGCTGGGGAGCAAGTATGTCAAGTTAAATGTGGGTGGCTCGCTGCATTATACAACTGTTCAGACATTAAGCAAGGAAGACAGTCTGTTGCGGAGCATATGCAATGGAGGAACAGAGGTTTCCATAGACTCAGAAGGTGAGTGGATGTGTCTGTGTAGTAAGCACTAACATATGTGCAGGATCCACTTTGTTATCATGTAATGGATGAGGGCCGTGTTATTGATAGGAGCATGGAGTAGGACCTTTTTTATGTTAGCTTAATAACATAGTTATTTCAGGTGCTCTGTTTTAAATTAATATAAATTCTGTTTTACTAAATCAAATCACATTATTAGCCTTTAACTTTTATCATACAGTGTATTTCATTCTACAATGGAGGGCAGTTCTACAACTTTTGTGAACTCGGATAGCAAGTGACACACTTGTGATGTCATCAAGTTTTGTGCTGTAATAGATCAAATATCTAAACCACTGTAATGAGATTGGAGGCGAGGTGATTCACTATGACACAGCACAGGACTGTCTCCACTGTTTTAATACCACCACTATCTTGTGTGGTCATGGTGTGGCCTGTAAAATCATTTGTTTGAGAAAGGTGTGTCTATACTAGCTCTAAATGTTTCATAGTGTGTAGTGAATTTTAATACTCTAATGTGCAAGTGACAGAACTTTAATTGAGTGCGAGTTCTAAGAGTATTCTTAAATGACCATACTGTTTTTTTAAATGTTTTATAAAGAAAATGAGTATTGAGACCAGAAGTGAAATCTAAAAAATGTTTCATCCAAAGTTCCACTGGCCTTCCATAGAAAATAATAAAGATTACTGAAGAATGCAAATGACTCAAAATAACCTCCCCTGCTGTCCCAGGTTGGGTAGTTTTGGATAGAAGTGGCCGACATTTTGGACTGGTTCTGAACTTCCTGCGAGATGGCTCAGTACCACTTCCAGAGGATCACAGAGAGCTGGATGAGGTTCTTAAGGAGGCCCAATACTATCAGGTCCAGGGGCTTGTCCAGCACTGCCTCAGTGCCATGCAGGTAAATAGATGATACTTTTTCCCACAATTTCTGTTGGTTGTCGTCAGGGTTTGGTATCAGATTCAATATTCTGAAGGGTACCAACCAAATAAAGTTGATTCTGCTTCCAAGAACAGATTCACTTTAAATCAATTGTTGCCACGTATTGGTACCTGAGAGCTCATCTGGTTGAGAACACTGTGTTAAGACAGAAGGAGGAAGCAATGCAGAGTGTTGAGCCATAACTCACTGCACCAATGGTTTTGGCATTTTGTCTTTTTTTCCTCTTTTTTTTTAAATTCTAAAAATAGCCTAGTTGCACTGCTGTTTGTGATTGTGTTTTTAAATTGTGTACTTATTCCACATATTTGCATCCAGACACACTTAGACACACTTGTGTCTAAATAGAGAGTGAGAGAGATTTACAGACACCTATACACACACACACACACACACACACACACACACAAGCAGACAGACAGACAGAGTGCAGATACATTTCATACAATGGAAGCTCAATGTGCTTCAGTCACAACAAATATGAACAAAATGAAATAAGACATAAAGTCATATTTAGATATAAGTAAGAGATGTTTGGCAGAGCAAGAATACGTCACTCCTGCAGTTTGTTCAAAATTTCAATTTTTATTGTTACAGAGAGAGGAAAGTACCAAAAATAAATACCATAGTAGCAAAGTCCAGGTACTGGTATCAGTTCAAATGTGAACAGGACCCAACCATAGTTTTGGTTTTGTTTGTGTAAAAGAGTGTCTACAAACATACCCAAATTCATGACATACAGACTTTTCTTAGTTGTACGAATTCATGTTCATGAAATAGCGGATGCAGTCATAAAACTTGGCTATTTGTGAGGAAATATTTCTGTCAACACTCTTCCTGGTTAGTTAATCAGTGTATGAATCATAAAGTGTTGAAACAACACATTGATTCATTTTTGAGCTGATCAAAACAGTAAATCGATTCCAATGTTATTTATTAATTAAATGCTGACTTAGTCATTTATGATGTAAAAGCATGTACCATTTACACTTTCACAAATAAAACAGTTGCTTTTCTCCATTTGTTATCATATAACTTTAACGCCTCCGGGTTTTAGCTACTGGTCAGACTAAACAAGAAACTCAGTAACAATGCTTTGGACCCTTGTGTCTTACGATGGTGTTTCTCATTACTGTTTGACATTTAAAATACTGTTAATTTATTATTATTGATCTGTGTAGTTGAGTAATTGATACCTGCAAAAGGTGTTTGTTGCAGATGTGTTTCCATCGACTTTCCTTGTTTATCTTCAGAAACAAAAGGATGTCTTTGAAACTGTGTGTCGCATCCCTATGATCACCTCAGCCAAAGAAGAACAGAAGATGATTGCTACGTGTAGAAAGGTACATTGCATTTTGTTTTGGTCAAATAGACCACTGAAAAAATAATAGATGGTTTCAAGAGATGTCAAATTGTGAGCTGTGGAAATTGTAGTCTGCTGTTGTTTTTTGTCTTGAGGAAATGTTTATTGGTATTTTTAAATTATTAACAACGTAAAAATTAATTTATTTCTCAAGGTGTAACTCTTATATAATTTTGAAGTTAGTTCTTTTTGTATGTACGCATAATTTGTTTTAGAAAATACTTTATTTATTCCTGTCTTTTGTCTCTTCAGCCAGTAGTAAAATTGCAGAACAACAGAGGAAACAACAAATACTCTTACACCAGGTAAAAAAAAAAGGCTTACTGTGCATGTATCCTACAATAAGTATGAAAAACTACTTGACAAGCCAGATTCTGCTACATCACACTTTGTTCTTTGTCTCTCTCTCCTTTGACCAGCAACTCTGATGACAACCTGCTGAAGAACATTGAACTGTTTGACAAACTTGTGCTGCGATTTAACGGCCGCGTCCTGTTTGTCAAAGATGTGCTTGGGGACGAGATCTGCTGTTGGTCTTTCTATGGTGAAGGCCGCAAGATTGCTGAAGTATGCTGCACTTCTATTGTCTACGCCACAGAGAAGAAGCAGACAAAAGTAAGAATGAAATAATGTGGACAACAAGCCCTTAAAGAAACAGTTTGACATTTTTGCGCAAAGATAGGCTGGACCTCTAAAGATAACTAATGAACACATGCTGTGTATGAGAAAGAGCAAGGCTAGCTGTTCCCTTCAGTTTCCAGTCTAAATGCTAAGCTAGCCTAACCTGGTGCAATCTTGGACAAATGGGGGATCCAGCGTAGCCAGCGGATGTCTGAGCTATGACTTCCTCTTTCATGTGCAACTCATTGTTTACAGTTAAGTTAGCAACTTGAGACAGGCATATGTGAATGCAGATAAATCGGTAAAAGCTAAATCACCATAAGACGATAGCTGATAGGTCCTTGGATTGCATTTTGGCTAATGCGTTCCACCTCTTTTGCTCTCCACACAGACTGTTTACCTGCATGCAGCCAAAGCATACTCAAATGCATGTGGTCAATTGCACTTTGGCTACAAACAGAAACCAGAACGCCTCTGATACCAAAACCTTGTACCATTGCCCACATATCATGCATAAATATACAGATATCTGTTAACAGAGATTAAACTATTGTAGCTTTATATTTAAAGGTCCAGACACACCAAATCAACATCAAACATCTAGTGACGATAAAGGTCGACTGTTGCACCGCCTGTGTCTCAGCCAAAAAGTTGCACTTGAACACACCCCAAATTATACAGCCAATGGCCATCTAGCGCATACGTTCTGCGCCTGCATGAGAGGAAGACACTCCACTCCACACCAGCAGGTAGCAGTAGTCTGTATTCATCATTCAAAAAGGGAAACCAGAAGACCAACAAGACGGATTCAAGACACTAGTTAGTCAGTTAGCACATTATCGACACAACCTGATGTTGAAAGAACAAAGGATATGTACCATGCACTGGCGAACAAAAACACAATTATGAACCGTTTCTGCTGAAGAGCTCAGTGGCCAAAATAAAAAATAAAAAAATCTTACCTTACATAACAAGTGGGTTTTGATCTCACACCCGCTTCACTTTAGCCATTTTCTCTTGCGCTGAGCTGAACTGCCAATTTAGAGTGATTTCATTTATCGAAGGGCTCAGCCATCTCTCTCACCGATTTAACATGCTGAATCAGCAGACAAAGGTGGACACTCCATAAAAACTAGAGCGACAGATGCTCACTGATGACCAGACATTGACCACAGCCAACCATCAGCTTGGTGTGTCAGGGCCCTAACGAACAGATATATGAGTAGTATCGATTTTTTTTCATCAAACTCTTCACCATAAAGCAAATGAGTGTATTTTACAATATGTGGAGCTATTAATTTTAGCTGTTAACGGCATTATAGTATGAGTTGAAGTATGTCTTTGTTATGGCTAATCAATTTGCTTTAGATATTACGGTAAAAGTGACCAGGGTGGGTAACTTATGTTACAGCACACCAAAAACTACCAAGTCTGAAACTGAATTGATTTTTTTCCTCTTCTTTTTAGGTTGAGTTTCCTGAGGCTCGAATCTTTGAAGAAACCCTCAACATCCTCATTTATGAGAATGGCAGAGGATCTGGTCCGGGAGGCTTACACCTTTTAGACTCAAGAGGCTCAGGTTCTTCACTGGGAGCTGAGGAAGAGGGTGCTGCAGGAGGTGACAGGCGAGTAAGACGGATCCACGTAAGGAGGCATATAATGCATGATGAAAGAGGGCACGGTCAGCAAACTGTGTATAAGGACTAATAATGTGAAAACGTAAGGCGTGGGAGAGTGAGTTTATGTGTGGTCATTTTTTTGTTTGGATAATAGCAGAATGAAAGATGTCCTTGATCATAGCAATAGCTCGGTAAGTAGTTATTTCATTAAATGTCTTCAGATGTCACTGCACAGAAACGTAGGAGTTGATGACTGATCTGTAACTGAAGTAAGAGTCGTGAAAAATGCTTCTGTTTACAAGAAAACCAATTGTGTACATTATTTAAATAGGAAATGTGTAAAAATGGCCTGGGACATGAAACTGGCATAAATATAACTTTGCTAATGTTAAAGAACTTCCTGCAAGTTACTGAATGGGCCTAAAAGCCCACTGCACCTGTTGATGTGGGTGTTAATGATATGCACTGGCACTCTCCTCTTTGTTTGACTTATAGGAAACACTGTCAGTCTGTTTATTCAGGTTGTAAAACATCTGTTGCCTTTTCATAAGTTGGACTGATATGCTGCCCGACAGCGACGAACAGAGGATGGTCAAGTTTAGCCTAGATATGTTAACACTGGAATAAAACTGAGTAGCCATTTTTAGGGAGGTTGTCTTTGAATGAGATTGTTGAGCAGCTCCATTTTCTTTATTTAAATTATTACTGCTGTTGCTTCAAGATGTTTTTATTAATTTATGAACCTAATTTATTGTTTGGTATTTAACTTTTGTATTGTATGCAATCTTTGTGTTAATTAGTGCTCAAGTGAGTTTTAATTTTTGGAATGATATGATGCACTCTATAGCACACACACCAGATTTTGACTTTGCTCCTGTAAATGACTAAATAGTGAACTTACATTTCTGTTTAATGTTTCAAGAGGAACCATGACCATTTCTTTGATATAATTGTCTTCTTTTCTGAGCCATGATCTTTCACTTTCGCTTAATGTCTTATACCAAACCACTTAAATTTGCTCAGTTTAATTGGCCTTACAGTGATGATGAAGGTAATAATACTGGTTTGTATTTTTATTTCCCTCAGGGAGAGCATAAGCATTTTCTTTCTGAGGTTCACCAGTGTTTTGTGTAAACCTAATCACTCTGAAGACTGAACAAAACATTGAATGAGAGCAATATGTATCTCAGACCCTTTATAAAATCACCTTGGAATACCTTAAAATATGCACTAATATGACTTCCGTCCAACAGTGGTCATGGGAATGTTCTGAATAAATTACTTATGAAATTCAACTCTAGCTTCTCAGCCTTATTTTTTCTTTCTTTTCTTAAGTATAAAAAGAAATTGACTGGTGGATGTTTCTGTACAAACATGTAGATTTTTAGGTGGGGTAGTTTGGGGGGGGGGGGACACATATCCCTGTCAGTATTTACAACATGGGCATTTGTCCCACCAGGTAAAAACATGAAGTAGCAGAGGACTTTTATTTTGACAAAATTAAAGACATTTACACCTTAAATTGATGCAGAAAAGGCACAAATTGGTGCATAAAAAATCACCAGAATGAAGGAAAATAGGTGTTTGATCCTCAAAATTTCCTGGCAGTGGACTTCCGAACCACCTGTTTCACGTGTACCCCCCCAGTGTTGATACCTATGTTTTTGTTTCAATACATTCAAACTGCTGATCATTGGAAAGCGATCTTAACACATGTTCTTCTTACAATGACATGATTCAACATTATAGTACCTTATTATATAAAGGACAGGCTGCACCATAAATCACTGCACATTCTGTACTCATCACTTGTACTACCATATTTGAATTACTGTGTGGAAGTTTGGTGCAACTTACATCCATTATACATCCTTCAAGAGAGCAATCGGTACAGTACATAATGTGGGTACAGGGAACACACCAACACACTTTTTAAAGTCACAAGCATTGAAATGCATACGAAATTGTTTCTGGTCAAATTTAAAACTGCACAAGAAATACTTAACTTCCGGGCAACATTCAAAAATGTTTTGTGACGGAGAGGGGTTATAATTCAAGAAGATAATTTAATTTAAAAAAACAATGTGTTCGTACAGTCTGTGTGTTTCAGTGTGTGGGGTGGACTTGTGGAATGGGCTGTGTGATGAGTTGAAACAAAGCACTATAAATCGATTTTTAAAAGCTATCCAAAAAATATTTTTGGCAGATATATAGATGAGGAACGGTTGTGTTAGGGGAGTGCATATTTATTTTTGAAACACTGGGTGGTACTTGGACTGTCAATAAACTGGGTTTATAACTTAATTAATTGGGTGGTAAATAGACTGGGGACAGTTGTATTTTAGTTGTAAATGAATTAGGGAATTTGTTGAAATAATATCAGTTAAAAGAAGAAATATAAGAAAGGGATAGGGACATAAAACGTCTACCTACTACTTTTCAGACACTGATATATTTGCCTAGTTTGCTTTATGAATGAGTTAATGACTTTATTTCTAACCAAAATAAATAAAAAAAAAAACAAATAAAAAACAAAGATTTAGAATTGGATTCAAGATTTTAACTATTTATCATTGCACTGTGATACATTACATAACTCCAATTGAATAAAGGCAGATTGAATTCTAATCTCTTCAGAAAATATTGTATTTAACTGTGAATGCTCTTTTGTTTCTATGAAATTTTAGAATTTTGAAATGTTGAATAATAAAGGAAAAGAGTAAAAATGGGTAATCCTTTAGAAAAACTTTAATGAATTAAAAAAAACTTTTATTTATAGATAGAAGTTAAAAAGCTCAAGCTGTCTGATCAGGTTTTGTATTTTGAAAGGATGCGTCTCTGCGTGACGTCACTTCCTGTAACTTCCGGGGGTCCCTCGCCGCCAAAAAGAAACCACCACAAACAGAAAAGATGGTGTCAGAGGAAGAGGTGGCAGGTATCCGCAGGTTTGTGTGTGGCCAACTTCGTGATGAGCCAGACCTCAGGTACTGTTGAAGCATCTAGGAATTTGATCAAGTCCTGTTTTTACATTAGATAAGTTCATAGGTCTGTGCGCCTTGATTTTTTTATGTGTCGAGAGTTACTTGTTGCTAACTTTAGTCGGGCAGCTGACAGTCACACACATACACAGTGGCATACTCCTGTCTAAACACTGATAGTCAGTGGCCATTTAACTACTCAGACCAGCTGCATGTTGCGCATTTAACACCAGTACTGCAGTTGTGCCATTTACAATAAGATAATTCAGCGCACACGTGACGCAATTCATCAGTGTTAAGGTTTCTCATGGCAACACGACGCTGATTTGATATCAATAGGCTAATATCAGTGATATTCATAACTTTGGCTGCGCTAGTTGCTAAATGTAACTTCAGGAAGCCGAGCTAGCTTTGTTAAAAGTTGTTGAAAGTAATAGTGTCGGTGGTAGAAGCAGATCCAATATTTCTGGTAGAAGCCATTAAATTGAAGCGACACCTGCTGGTTGGAGGTGGTATCTTTCAGTGGAACCAGGGTTAACAATTTGGGTGAGAGGTATTGTGCTGAAAGTCTATCTAATATTGTATATTGTTATACCACATATAATCTTCTACAGAGTGTCTGCATGCCCTTAAAAAATCTGAAAATGTCTTAAATTTAATTTCATAAATATTAGCAGTGGTGTAGTGGAGAGAGTACACAGATATACAGGGTATACCCACTTCTTTTTCTAGTTGTTTACAGTATGCCCACCTATCAGCCATAAAGCAATTGGTGTATATATACGAGTATATACTCACTTCCCTCTTGGTAACCTACCAAGCAACCTAGTGGTACACCCACCTCGTCAGCTACCACTACACCACTGAATATTAGGCCATAAACATCATTGAATTTGTGAGGTCGTAATTGTCACACACTTTAAATCGTATTTCATTTATCCATCTTTTAATATCTTTTTGTCAAAATGGGATGAACACAATACTACCATTTTACTTACACGTGGCTGGCAAAATGTAGAAAAACATAACTCGCTCATAAAACCATATTCCTACATAAAACCCACCTCTGCATGGGACTACACATAAACTACTTACCCCTGTACCTACCTGCAGTCTTCAAAGAAGAACGGGATGATTTGTCCAAAAATCAGTCTTAGATTCGGTTAAAAATGATCTTGAAATTAGTCTTAAAAAATATTAAATTTAAGTGTCTGATACTTGTCGACACCCTGGTCTACCATTATGAAACTACATGACAGATATTTTCCTATAAATAAAAACTTCAACTTTGATAGTAGTTTGTATCCACTAGTGTGTTACAAACACTCAATTTCCTGCACAAAACAATGTGTTGTTTCTCCATTGTTGTCATTTTTTGGCCAGATTCATAGAATACTTTTTGTTAATAAAATCCGTCACACTATCCCTATAGCAATTGTAATATCCAACAAACTAAATTCCTTTTATTGTTACCTCTAAACTTTGCATTTGGCAATCTGTTTGATGTATATAGTCCTCATCTGGTTAAAGTCATACATGTGGGTATGTTAATGTTTTTTCAGATTTATTTATCAGTCTATTCAAAAACACAAAGGTTCCAATTAATTATGTCTGTTACTGTATATGCCCTCCTCCCTCACACACCATGATGTCACCTTTCTAATGTCTTATTCCAGCACCCTGACCTTAGGCATTTTAAAAAAGCGGTACCTGGCACATGTGCAAAGTCAATCACTAAGTCCAGAGGCCAAAAATATCATGAAACAGGTGGTTGCAGAGGAACTGATGAAAATGCAGGTATGTGAATTCTTCTTTCAGAGCTTGTACATTTTTCTTCAAGTGTTTTAGAATTTTGCAGGGGTTGATTTTTAGTGCTGTTGCTATTAGTGTCATCATTTTTTTCTTACTAGGACAAGGATGAAAGTGGAAGTGATTTGGAGACCACGAAGCCCCAAAAGAAAAGGAAGAGAGAAGAGGAAAATGACGAGGTGGTTAGTGGGAGAGAAGATGAAGATGAATCCACAGCAAAGAAATCTTGTCGTCAGTCAAGCTCATCATCAGGTAGGTTATGATCATTTTTAAATCCATTTAGATACCTGTAGCTTAAATGATCTAGAGAATGTTCCACTTTGCAGTTACTCAATGTAAAATGATCTGGACCATCACAGAGAAGCTTTTGCTTAATAGGTAGAGTGGGTTGTCCACTGATGATAGGGTTGGCAGTTTGATACCCAGCTCCCCCAGTCCACACATCTAAGATTCCTTTGGCAAGACACTGAACCACAGATGGTTAGTCAGGAATTTGTATGATAGCTTTGCTAAAAAAGTAAAGTGCTTTTATCATAAGTGCCAAATAAAAATGCAGTCCATCAAGAACAGTCGCACTAGAGCTGCATGTAGTGATTATTTTTACTATCGAGTAATCTGCAGATCATTTACTCCATTCATTGTTTGGTCTGAAAAGGGCATATCTGTCCTCGATGTTGTCATCAGAGCTCTTCTTTTGTCCGACCAACTGTCCAGAACAAACCAATATTTAGTTTACAGTGATATGAAATAGAGAAATGTTGAAAATCAAAACATTTTAGAAACCGGAACGAACAAATCTTTGGCATTTATGCTTTTGAAAGGAAAACATTGCATTAGTTATTAAAATGGTTTCCATTTAAATTTCTGGCAAACGACTAATCAATTAATCAGCTGATGCTTGTGATTCTAAGTAGGACACATGCATTCACAGTACTGGTATATAGCTGATCTCAGATCAGCTGTTGTACATAAAACCACTTTTTTTGTTGGCATGCCACCTTGAGGGGAGTTTCCATTTCAGATAGTCTCACTCACTTAGTACCTACGTAAACCGTACCTTGACTGTGTTATGCTACAGTGATTTTTTTGTTGTTGTTGTTGCTCTGTTGTAAACCATGAAACATTGTCTCTTCTTGTGTGGTTAACGACAGAGGCAGAGGACAAAGACGACTGCAAAACAGGAAGTGAGGAGAGTGAGGAGGAAGAGCAAAACAAATCTGAATCTGAGGATGCAGAGCAAGAGGGGAAAAAATCACAAACAAAGACAAATGGAAAAAGTAAACAGCAGATAAGCAGTGAAGACTCAGCAGATGAGGAAATTAATAAATCAGAAGTGAAAGAGAAAGAGAGCGACTGTCAAGACAGCCCAGAGGAAAAGTTGATAAGGAAAGCAAATGCTACAAAGAATGGAAAGGCAAAAAGCAGCAAAACAAGTCGAGGAAAGAAAACACCACAGAGTGATGGAGAGAATGACACTGACTCGGATAGCAAGTCAGAAAAGAGTGACCGCATCAACAACAGTGACTCCTCAGATGACAGTGGAAAAGGTGACCATGCAAACTTTATACTTGCATATTCCATACTTGAATGTTTATTCACGTTGCATGTTTTTTAATATGACTGGATATGACTCCTTGTTGTGTTAAACAGAAGAAAAGGTCTCAGTGGAAAAGAAGAAAAATGACTCAGACTCAGATTCATCATCACTACCCTCACTGGAGGATGAACAGGAGAGTAAAAAAGAAAAACCACAAGATGATGAAAAGAAGAAAACCGTGAAAAAAGAGAAAGCCACCAGAGATCAAAAGGTGAGCACATGATTGATGTTATCAGTTAGAATCAGAATCAATCAAAGTGGAAATATACAAGTTTTTTGCTTTAATTTATCATCGTGAAGTACGTATTGATTACACAGTGTAATGGCTGTAGAATAATGACATCTTTGGCATTTAAACTGGTTCTCTATAAGCCTCACTTTCACTATGCAATTCTGTCTGAAACCAGGTAAGATTTCCCAGGAAAATGAAGGCTCTATTTACAGTTCAAAGGAAGTGCATCAACCATTGTGCAAGCAAAAGAGGAAGAGCATAGCAATTTTGTTTTCCTCTGTAGCTATCAGTATGTATCCCTAGTTACCAAAGAGTATCAATGTAAGTTTGTTGCAGTTACTGTCCTCAGCAGTGGAAATGGTAGATGGTGAAAGAACCAAAGTAACTTTGGAAACTGTGGTAGCTGCTAGGCTCTGAAGAAAACACACAGGGTTACCGTGGATCCTTTAAAAGCCTTAAAAAAGGCATTGAATTCATTAATCTAGAAATAAGGCCTTAATCTGTATTAAAATGTCTTAAATCAATGGGAATGGGAAGTGTTTCAGACCGGAAGACTCAGAACAGAGGATCCACTGTCTGTTAGCTAGCTGTAACTGTACCCCGGATTGGGGGACATGGGGGAATTGCAAAATCAAGGAAACTTGGCTTTTAAGCAAGTCGCGTCCTGGCTGAAACTGCTGCAAGACTATGCATACAAGGCTCTGTGTATTTTCTGCAAAAAGTTTTTCAAAACTTGGCACGATGGGAATCAAGGCAGTGGATATTCACATGCAGAGTGAGAAACTCAAGATTATCAAGAAAACCCAGCAACAAACCCCAGTTCGGTTATACCCTTGTCTCTACCTTTCCTCCACCCCAAGCTACAGTCTATGAGTCAGATACACTCCTCGCTCCTCCACAGCTCCACCCTCTCGTCTAAATACGGTCACTTCTAGCATCAGAAAAACACGGTGATGGCCGAAATGCCAAAAGGCTTCAAAACAGCAGTCCACAAACCAGTGGGTGGCTTCACAGTAACTAAGTAGACTAGTAACTAGTTTCCACTTGAAACCAAGTGTCCAACCCTTTGTATGACTCTCCATTGATCCCCTCAGTGCTTAGAGTTGAATCAAGAGACAAAGTGCAAGATTAGTGGTAGAAATGCAAAGATGGGGTTCTGAAAAGGGGTCATCACAACCTGTTTGTTCTCTGATTCATCCCACAGGACGACAACAAAGCAGTCGTGAGGCTCAAGCGCTACATTTCTCTGTGTGGTCTGAGGCCGAAATACAAGAAGCTCCTCGATGGCTGTCGCTCTGTTCGCTCCCAAGTGGCTGCTCTAAAGAAGAAGCTTGAAGATCTCGGTGTCGATGGTCAGTGGAAGTGCTGTCACCTTTACATTTCCCTATTGTATGTAAGGTATCTGGAACTAGGGGTGGGAATCTCAAGGCACCTCGCTTTACAATTCCACTTCACAGGGCTACGATGCAATTATAAAACATTTATGGATATATTTTGTTACAAGGAATGTAAGGAACATACAACTTGGTCTTCCAAGTTGAATTTCCAATTATTGGCTTTTTTGTATTGAGACAATCTTTCGATAGAGAATTGTGACGCATTTTAAGGATTAATTCCCACTGCCACCCCAATCTTGAAAGCATTTGGGGCCTCCAGAAAACAAATTGTCATGTACTGTAGTTTCACCAGAAGGCCAACTTCACACACAACATACACAAAACATATCAAAATCTAAATGCCATGCTGTCAAGACATTTACCAAGTACCTACATCTGTAGTGGGGTCTTGCTTTCCCCCTTTTCTACTTTTGTGGAATGACTACACAGTGAGATAGTTTTGGTTTGTTGTGCTTATATAGATGAGCCCAAACCAGCTGTAACATTTCTCATTTGTAAACTGTGTAATAAGTTATTAACTTCATTATTGACATCATTTGATAAACTCGGGGAACCATGGGTTAATGTGATGATGTGTGTATGTGTTTTTCAACACAGGTCAGCCATCGGTTAAGAAATGCAAACAAGTCAGAATGATGAGAGAGCAAGCTAAGGAACTAGCTGAGCTTGATGTCAGCAACATCATTTCCACACAAGGTAATTATTTGTCTCTTTTTTTTCTCCGAATACACCATGTTGTTGCACAGTAGCCTAGAACCAAAGAATCAAACACTGGCTCTAGACAGGGCTATTCATGTTTTCGCATCAGCCACTGTAGTTTTCCTACACGCTTGGCACATGGGAGCAGTTGCAGTTTTAAAACCTCACCACTAGATGCCACTAAATCCTACACAATTTACCTTTAAGGGTTTGTGTCATTCTACTGTACTTGGGTCAAATGAACAAGTTTAGAAATTGACTGATTTCTTAAATGGGAAACTGTCCACCATCTAATGCAATATCAAGCTTATTGCATACACCACATACAGTAAAATAGGTGTGATTTATAACCTGGTTGGATCCAGAAGTGCACAGTTTACCTACAACATTGTTGTTGTTGTTGTTGCAACAATGTCTATAGTTTAGAGGTGATTTACTCACTACTATTGTTTATTATATTATAGCACATGAAAAATATTGATTAATGAGACCTGCTAATGTGGCTACTTCTCTAAGGTCGACCTAAACGCAGAGGAGCCTCAGCATGGCAGAAAGAACCTGACCCTCCGTCCTCCACATATCTGCGTACACTGAACTCTGGCTCTGATAGTGACGAGGAAAATGATACACACAGAGGGCGCAGAAGAACAACAGACTGGGCCAACCTGCAGGGGATCATCAGTGATGATGCAGACAGCGACTGACAGGGGCACTTCCTCGTGCAAGTGTTCAGAGATTTAGATTTAGATATGGACATTCCTTTTTTTGTACAAGTTGGGTTTTGTCTAAACAAATTATTTTGATACTAAGTATTTCTTAACCCTTTTGCAAAAAATGAGAAAACTGATAGATGAGGTAAATGTTTCTTTAATATAAAATGTACATCTATGTTATATTTCAAATAAAATGATTTTGCTCTTATGGAACAACTATTTTATTTTAATCGGGGCATTAAAACTTGTGCACTGAGCTATTGTTTTGTGGGCATAAGATAACTAACATGCACACAAGGTGTCCTTGCTATTGCAAGGACCAGACAGCATAGCTATAAACTAGGGCCTATAAAAGTGGGAGTGAAAGGCAGCAATAGTGTTTTATCCAAAAGGCTGACTTGAGCTAGAATACTTAAACTTGTAACCCAAATAGGAATTTCAGTTGTGTTGCCATTGCATAAATGTATAATCATACTTTGTCACATTCTTTATTATGATGTCAGTCTTCTAGTTTCTGTGACAGTAGAAGGTCCCCATTTTATTTGAGCTATTGGTTTCTGTGAACTGGGAGGGAATTTTCAGCAACACTGCTTCTGCAAATGTTTCTATCATTCTTAGCGGCATTTACTTTGATAGCTGTTACCAAATATGGTGTTAATATTGTATTTAGGGATGGACTTTGTGAGAGTCTGTGACACTAGAAGATAAATTAAATAAAATAAAATATTGTCAAATGAGTGCAAAAAGGGGAAGCATGTCAAATACTTTTTTGAAGCACTAGGGGGGTTTGTTTTTTTGGCTTTTAGGGAGGGGAATACAACTTTAAATGGATGTATTTGGTATTTATTTTACCACAGATTTTCAAAGAAACGGGTTTGGAAGGCATGCTTTCTTAAAAAAAAAAAAAAAAGATTTTTAAAGAAAACAAATTATCGTTGGATTTTTAAAATTTGCGATGGTGCTTTAACACCTGGGCTCAGGGCTTCCGGCAGAAAAAAAACAACCAAATCAAAGTTTAAAGTAATGATATTTCCTCAAAATTACTTTATTCTACATGTCTCATTTAAGTTTTTTATGTTTACCCTGAAAATGTCTGCGTCACATTCCCGGAACTAATGTTAGTAAGCTCTCGGATAGACGGAATGTTTCGTAGACGGACCGGTCCTACAGGGTAGTGGTCCGCACGCACTCCGTCAGGTCAATGAGATATTTCTTGTTAATTACTTAAACACCAGCACAATTGTTGCGGTCTGTGTCTGTGTGTTGCAGCATTATGTTATTATGTTACGCTGTTGCTAATGAATGTGTCATTACGTATTCTCAGTCACACAATGTCCGGATACAAACTAACTGCATGCATGTGACCCTCAACCTGCTGCACACAGTCCGTCTGTCACAGATATCTCTAGGCTAGATCGAAATAGCTTCAGCCAAAGGTTAATGATTTTTAAAAATGCATTCAGAATTTATATATATTTAATCTCTTAAGGTAAAAAAAATCCTGACCGCTAAATGTTACTTATGTGGGGCAAAATGTAGAATATCGGTACACAAGGCTGTGTCTAAAACATCAATTACAAACTGGTGTATATACTGTGTGCGCAGAGTGAGATATATTTCTTTAAAGGGGAACTTAACCCATTTTCAAAGTCCATACATTTTATTCCTATGGCTTAAGACTGCTAAAAAAAAATATTAGTAGAAATAAACAACTCTCTCCCAAATCCAAAAGCTAGAATACTAAAACTCAAACCTGTGATAGACAGTGAATTGGAAAAGATGTTACAGAGGACACTGAGAGTACCCAGGGGAATGTTCTGATATGGATACATTTTCATTTTCAATATTTTACAACCCTTTCCCTGTGCCTTATAGTATATTTTATAATTTTAGATTAATTTTGACCCTACCCTACACATTTCGTGCAGGAATGGATGATGATGCACCAGATGAGGTCTTTGCCGAGCTCAAGACCAGGCCTCTCGGAGGATGGGGTATTGCACAGATCGCTGCTGGCACTGGGCTTGCTGTATACGCAATGTGGGTGGGAGTCCTCCAGCCAGGCTTCAGAAAAGTCCCTTTGAGGTTACAGGTCTGGAATAACTTTTGATGCAACTTGTCTTGCACCATTTGTACTGTACAATATTCTTTTTATCAGAACCTCTTTAAAATATCTTCCAGGTGCCGTATATCCCTGCCAGCAAAGCTCAAGTGGATAATGTAATGACATTGCTGAGAGGTCGAAAGGGAGGCCTTGTGGATTTGGGATCTGGTGATGGCCGCATTGTAAGTACAAGCAAGATATGTAGGCTCCTTTTTCTAGAACTGGTGAGAAATAGGTTTTGATTGTGGTCATTTTTAACTCTTAAGGTCTTGGAAGCCCATCGACAGGGTTTCACTCCCGCTGTCGGCTATGAGCTCAACCCCTGGCTTGTTCACCTGTCTCGCTTTCATGCCTGGAGAGCAGGCCATCATGAGAAGGTGTCGTATCGGCGAGAAGATCTCTGGAAGGTTTGACATTTATCACTCGTACTGTGGCATTAGTAACACTTCTGTTTAAATTTCAATAGAAATGTTGTCACTCCAAGAAGGAAAAAATAGCCAAAATGAAACAGTTCGACTCCCTCCCTCTAAATTGCTGAAAACAGAATTTGTTATTAGCACATGTGAACCTACTAACATCTTTATGAATAATACACAAATGTTTTTCATAGTTGGCTAGGTAACCTTGTGGTTTACTTTATTTTTGCCATTTTGAATACAAAAAAAAACATTTTTTTTACATGTGTTATGCAAAGCTGAAATGTTAATAAAGTGGCCTTTTTCCCCACCTGCCTTGTTTCGCAGGTCAACTTGACAGAATGCAAGAATGTCACAGTGTTTTTGGCTCCTAGCGTGGTGAGTAATATAATGAACAGAGGCTTATAAACCATGAAGTAAAGACCATCTCATTGTGGTGTACAGATAAGCAAATAATTAAATATTAACTTTTAAAAACAATGAAGGTGAGCCCATTTCCTATCTGCTGACATAACAGAAACCCTTGTCTCTGTCACGAAACAGGAAGCCCTTTTATTGTTTTAATAACATTTGAGTCACATCACACTGATTGAGCATTATTCGAAGAAGATACTTTACTATATAAAGGTTCTTCCTCTCAGTGAATTTTTACAAATGGAAAAGCAACCTCGCTGATAACTTGTTTGTCATACTGTTTCAGGAAGTAGTTGCAACTTGTTAAAAAAATCTGTGTACCTTTACCATACTACATTTTTTAGAGCATATTCTAAAAAAAAATTGAAAAGGTAGTACATCCCAAATTTCCAAGTCAAGTAAGGACAAAATACTCAAATTACGCTTCTTTATTTTACTCACATTACAATGGAAGTACAGCTACGCATTTCTGCAGCATCTCTGTTGAAAAGAGATGCTTTTCACATTTGTGATGATTGGATTTTGTATTTCACACTCCTGTAAGAATCCCATTTTTGAAGCGCAACCTCCTTTTAATAATATATACATTTTTCTGGATTCTACATAAATCCTAGTAAGAACTATGTGGTTATGTGGCACATGGTTAAAGTTGCAGTTGAATTCAGATTCATCATCATGGGTACATTTCAGTAAATTTCTATCAAAATATAATAATATATAATAACAACATAATATAATAATATAATCTTGTGTCACCAGCTTTCATTATTGCAGCAGAAGTTGCAGACTGAGCTTCCTGATGACTCCTTAGTGGTAGCCGGTCGTTTTCCCTTACCTGACTGGACACCCTGCAGGATTGAGGGACATGGTGTGGACAGAGCCTGGGCGTATCGCATGCAAGCACAAAGACAGAACACCTTCAAGAAAAATGACGACCTCATAGTCACAAATAGCGACCCCAGTAGTGGACTGAACAAGGACAAAGGATCTACTTGAAGCTTTTCATTAGCTAAAAATACCCATTACTGGAATATTGAGGACATTTAACCTGACTGTCTGTCTTTACATTTTGACTACATCTACAAACGGATGTTTCTGGCAAACTTGCTCCTTAGCAGAGTGCAGCAATCAGGGAATGTACATTTTTGCACAAACTCTTCTCAACTATCTTCATGGATGGACTCTGTCTTTGTTATAAGCAAAGTTTGAACCAGAAATTCCTGAACAAGGGTTTCTGTTACCTTTGAGGAAAAACCACACCTTTGCCTCCAGAATGCTGAAGATTTTTTCGGGATTACTGCCCCTGGGAAGTAGTCTTATAAATGTGTTTTTAAGTTATTTTATCATCTACATTGTTTTCTGTTGTGTTAATTTTATGCCACAGAATTTAAGATTATTTAATGTTTTACGTGCTCTTTTAGAAATAATTATTATGAAGTATTTGTTGTATAGGTTGTATGTAATTAGACAACTTCAGAGCAAAGTTTACATTCCACTGTGCGGCTTGTTTTTTAAAGGTACAATTAAGTAAAAATTTTAATGCTTTTTGTGCGAAGGTGAAAGGCCCTCACTGCTGTGAGGATGCCTTTGTGACAGCAAGTGTGGAATGTGACTTTTCATGATTTGGATGTTAAAGGTGGCTCGTGTTTTTTAACCCAATTTCACAAACAGATTGTAACACTGGTATAAACCCCATGGGGTCCACAGTGTATAAAGGGAACAGTGACAACAGTTTCCCTGTGTGTAGTCCATCCCTTAAATGTGTACATAGTATGTATACATGTGGGTTTGCAATTAAAGTGTTTTAATCTATGTATGGACTATGAATGGACCTTTCTCATGCACCATGTGCTGGAGACTTAATTTGTCACGCTACCTCGGGTGGTGTGTTTGTTTGTGGGTGAAATTCCACTGTCATTCAACATTGATTTACAGTGACAAGAGCATGTCATTGTTGCAGGCAGACACATATTGTCAAACAATATGCTACATTAACTGCACCCAGTGAACAGCAACCAGGATTTCAATGTTTAAGATAAGAGATAAGATAAGCTAAAAGTGATCCCACACCAGGGAAATTCACGTTACAGCAGCTCAAATAGCACACATAGAAAAGCAAGTTGAATGACAATAGAATACTTATAGAATAAAGATAAAATACAAAAACATATATCAGAATTAGAAAATATAAAGTACTAAATTTAGAAACAACTATACACTCAATACTATTTAGATTATATACACCTTTCACTAATGCACATATGGAAACGGATATGTATGTATGAATATATGTATGGGTATATATTGACAGCTGTACAGTATAATTGCACATTGGATGTAATACACAAATGGTGTGTAGCATTAAAATTTAAAACAAGGTAAGAACAATTTAAACAGTGTTGGGGAATAAATAAATATTGCACGGAATTTACAGTGTAGATATACTGTATTGCACAAGGTAAGGAAATTGAATAAGTAATGTGACATAACAGTGCTGCATTAAGTTAATTATAGTTGAAAACAGGGTGATATTCAGTCTGAATGTCTAAGACCACTTTTCAACCAGCTAAAATTGAGTTACAGCATCAACATGTTAAAATTACAAACTTGTTTGATTATTTTTATAATTTGTTAAGTTGTAGGTTAAAGGAGAGACAATACTGATTAAGGATAGCCTTGAAGATAAACTGAATGATCTCTATACACAACTAACAGCATTAATCTGAATGTTACATATCAGAAAAGACCAGTGTGGAGTGGAGAGAAATCTAAATACCCCTAGTGTTGCAGACTTGATCAAATTGTGTACTGTTGCTTGGCAGGTCATTCAGATAATAAATCAGTGTTGAGGAACTACAAGTTTACTTTCTCCAGCAGAAATTCAGTATTAAATGAGCATTTTGCATGTGCCTGTAGAGCTTAGAGTATACAACATGTAATGACTTTTTGAGCAAGCAGATTTTCTTTCATGTATAACTCATTGTTGCTTACTTTTTAAATGCATTTTTGCACAGTGACAATTTGCACAATGACACAATGTTATTCAAAAACTCTCTTTAGCATTTGTTAAGAAAAATGCTGTTGTTCTTATAGATATAACCGGAGACCGTGCTTTTATTATTGTGACCGACTTGACACAAGCTGATTGGTTTGGTTGATTTTTGCAGCAAAAGAGGAAGTTGCGAAGTAAACCCTGTAACCAGCAAGCTAGCTGTATTCTTGAGCCGCCCTAAGCATTGAGAAGGGGAATAACAGGAACCAGCGCGCATAGTATTATATATTTAGTGTTGTTATAAATGTGTCAGATGTACAACTTAAGTGTGCATATTCACACGCTTTGAAATTACAAACGGTTAAGGCAAGTTGTCGTGACCAACAGCCAGAAGCATGTCTAGGTTTGACAGCTAGCTAACGAAAATTATGCCTTCATCCTTCTAGAAAAGCTAACGAGTTAGCCATCCGCTGCAGCGTTAGCACCTGGGAAACTTAGCTTCGAACCGCTACACATTGAAAGCTAATTAACGTTGCACATTTCTCCGGTGCCGGAGCCAGTGTTAGATGTTCCAAAAAACCAATATTGCTATATTTAGATTAACGGTAAACGGTAATAACGTTTCACGAAAATGCAGCTAACTGAGATAACGTTAGAGATGAGTTAGCTGATTCAATCTTAAGCCCATATGCATGGTAAGCAAAAACGCGTTTTATTCGAGCAAGGCAAACTCAGCTCAGTGTTTAACGTTGTTATTGTGAGCAGGTCAACGACGCCAACCTTTGCTAGCTAGTTTTGTGTGGAGTATCGACCTAAGCAGGCGAGCAGACCATGATGAGCCCCCTTTGCGGTTACGTTAGCCAGCAACACCTTAGCTAACGTTAGCTACAGAATTGGCTAGCCAGCGAGCTAATGTTGGCTTATTGCTGTAATTAATCCGAGAACAAGTAAACTGAAGAAAGCAACCGAGACAGCTAAACATGGTAAGTATAATTTAACGCGTATTAATCACCTAACATAAGTTATTCACCTTGTCTTCCTGGCTTATTTGCTAACGGCTAACGTGGGTGTACAAGGTTTTGGTTCGTATATTTAAACAGGAAGACCCATAGTTATGATAACATTGTACAGTACTTATATATCCTAAAATACAGGTAATCGTGCGTAATTGGGTGCATTACAGTTCTCTATGTCTGTTAATCCACATAACGGTTTCTGAGAGGCCAGGTATTTCACGGGATGTGACAGCTCGTTAAGCCATTTCACGGTACAAGACGCCCATCTTGCAAAACCGAATATTTGCTGTGAGTAGTGTTGAGCCTCGGCAAGTTGTGGCTTATTTGAGGAATTCAGACCTGCCTGCTACAGGAGCTGCTATATAAAGATCTCAATTTGCTATCTCGTTAATGCTAGGCAGGGCCCAACTTCCTCCACCTGCCAAAGCATGGTATTACAATTGATATAACGCAGTTGTTTAAATACAGCTTAATTTGGTTTGTTTGACCAAGACTGGAATTCTTGGGCAGTCTTCATGCTGAACTATGTGAGCAAATCAGACTGCAGTTATAGCCAGGAAGTACCAAGATGTGTGGATTATGTTTTTGTGAAACTATGCCAAAACGCACCCAAAAATCGGTGTGCAATACCAACTAGTTCTATGTGCAGGAATGGACATGAGAAGATAAGTTTCCAGCTCACTAAGTGACCTTTCTGAGCACGATGGTACATATGCCTGCAAGCATTAACATGCAAAAGGTTACCTCTTTAAATCAGCCTACAGGGCAACATGTTAAATTGCACATGGGCACTTTGTTAACAAATTAAAGAACTTATATAAACACTTCATGCATAATAAATATGAGATATGTCAAGATACATGAAGGGCGTTGCTCTCTTCACTGTGAGGATGGGTTTCTTGTACATGACTGGTCTTCAGTTGAGTATTCGCTACGCATGTATATTGCATGACGTATACCACTGTATTGCATCCGTCAGATAGATACTGGTCTAAAATAAGGCTCTGCAGTATGGAGAAATCAAATATGATGATATAGGTAGGGTTGAATATTGGTGCTTTCGCTACACATTTACACAATGAGATTTTTAATAAATAATCATAAGCAATGTGGATGTGATGCACAAGTGGGTAAAGGCAAATAATAGAAACAAGGGACTGACAACACTTACAATATTACACTATGCAAAATCTAAGATGATATTTAGTCACATATCACAATTTCAGTATATTGCCAACTTGGTGTGATTTGTGTCATGCTAATGGATAGCTGATTATGAATACAGCATTCAGTGGTTTGGATTATGTCTATTCTAAAATATAATCTAAATGTGCGTTTTGTACTTAATGTGACCTTTTTTATTATCCACTAGGCTTCAGAGGAGGCATCACTGCGAGCACTGGAGAGCCTTATGACTGAGTTCTTTCACAGCTGCACAACCAATGAGCGAAAGAGAGAAATAGGTACATGTGGCCTTTAAAAACCTACCAGTACACATTAGAAGCAAGGACATGATACATATCCGCCTTAGCAAGTCTGGATCTCCAAATACAATGTTCTGTATACTGGAATATACTGTAGTGTAGATCTAGTTGTCACTGTAGAGTGTTTAATGTGATCTGAAGCTATTTGCTTTCTATTAAAAATGTTTTTTGTTGCTCTTTTATGCACTTCCTGTGTTGTGACGCATTACTTTCAGTCTGTCTGCAAGTGAACTACTTCATTGTCATGTACCTCTGTCAGAGATCATGCCTACTTCCTTTTTTTCTGCAGAGGAGCTGCTGAATAACTTTGCACAGCAGACCGGAGCATGGCGCCACTGCTTGTTCTTTCTCTCCAATACTCGGAATGAGTATGTAATGATGTACAGCCTCACAGTATTTGAAGTAAGTCCTGTAGGTGGGAGATGCATATTTTCAGTTCCTGGTACTGTCAGGGGCCTTCTTTACCTTTTGATGCTTTGGAAATAGGACAGTGCACAGAGAAAAGTATTGTTACAAGTTCTGAGAAGAGAATTTGTTTCATGCTCTTCCTGTTTCCTCATTTCTCTAATTCTGAAAAACAAGTTTGCCAAATGTGTAATACATTTCCTATGGAATAAAAGGCTGAACATCCTGTGACCCCTAATTACATACTTTCACCTTTTTCAACGCAAATCTAAGATACGTATGCTTAAATGTAGGTGTTTCATTTGCAGTATCATGATTGTAGTGGATGGTGTGCTAGTAAAAAGTCTTTCAATGGGCATCATATTGTCCTTCAAACACAGCTTTGACTGCTGATTATTTCCTCTTACATTCAGAACCTGGTGAACAAGTTGTGGATCGGTGTTGCTTCACAAGACAAGATGGAGATTCGCAGCTGTCTGCCAAAACTCCTCCTTGCTCAGCACAAATCGGTGCCCTATTTCATCCGTAACAAACTGTGCAAAGTCATTGTGGACATTGGTCGCCAGGACTGGCCAATGTTCTACCATGATTTCTTTACGAACACCCTTCAGGTAAGCTCTGCTGATGTTGTTTCTGCTATTAAAAAGGCTTTTGTCGATGTGTCTAATACTTAACAAAAGTTGACAACAACACACAAGTTACATTGAAACAACAAGTCTACAGAAACATAGCTTATGTTACACTGAACATGTGTTCTTTTATAAGGTGAAGATGCCCTAAAAATTGTTCCTCTCCCTTTTCCTTTTACATGTCTGTCAACTTTATTCAAACTGCATTTCAGGTTTACTTTCTTTTCTAATTTACCTCTGTACATTTGGAACATTGTGTTCATATTAGTTAGTGTTGCAGTCTACA